CTTATGATATTAGTTCTTTAATAGGTATACTAAGTATTGTCCTAAAATTAAAAACAATTACCTAAATAAAAATTTGAAAATATGGTGTCAAATATCCTATACATATGTTTTATATACTATATATATGTATCAAATATTTGATGATTATAAATTACTATTATTTGCAAATTACTCATCCACTAGACAAATAATTGTTTTGTTTATAATTAAATTATAATAAACCATTGAACTTGGCAATTAAAAAAATATCACAAACAAGGTAGGCAAAACACAATAAAAAATTATATAAAATAGCCATTAAAAATCTCCTTGTGTCTGACATGCTTTAAAAAAAGATCACTCTGTTTTTATATAAATAGGTAGGTAACAAACAAATTATTAAAATCAGTGTATCTGTGAATAAGAAAATGTTGAAGGTAGGATATATTTTTTATTATCTTTAAATGACGACTTTATGCCTTGAAAGTTAACTTGTAAACGGTTGATTTTAGAGAAAAAAGTATATAACGTTTTTTGTAGTAAATTTTGTGTTCTGCAAAAAAGGTCATATAAGTGAAATCTCTAAACTTAATATTACAAGAGATATATGAAGTTGAGTCTTAAAAAAAATTTTATCAAAAAGACAAGATTAAAGGTTTTATAATGGTGCAAATAAATACTTATATACCACTTATACCCACAGGAAACCGTTGCTTTGCTTCTTTTGTTGGGCATCTGCCTTGCCATGGAAATAAATGACGCCGAAATCGAAGACGGCCTTGAAACTGCAGAAACTGCGTGGGGTGGCTATGGTAGGGGGTGGGGGGGCTACAGAGGATACGGAGGATGGGGCGGACGCCGCCGCTACGGTGGATGGGGGGGCGGTTGGGGGGGCGGCTACAGAAGGGGGTGGGGTGGTGGATATGGATATGGATGGTAGAAGATATTGTTTAAAAATGTAATTATTTTAATAAATTTTTGATACAATCTATAGATTCTTATATGGGTGAATCCCCGATGGTGTTACCCCGTGATATTTAATAAAACTAAATGAGTTTGACCTACACTTTTATTGTGTTTTCATCTTTCATAATTAAGTAGATATTACAGCTCAAGTTCCAGATTTTTAACTGCTATTAATTATTTTTTACAATGCTTTAAAAGTCTAAAACATATCCTCCGTGACGGTTACTCTTTCTAGGTTAATCTATATGTTTTCAAATATCTGAGGTAGTAAAACCACACTAAAAATATCAGTTCACTAAGTAAATTAAACACATCCAAAGCAATCGAATCAAATATAAAATATTATTAAAAATTAAAAAAAAGTATTTTTATAACCATTTATGTAGGTGTTACAAAAATTGATTCTATCCTCCGTGAATCTGTTTTTGCTTTAAATTTTATGCAACGGATGGCGCTTTAATCATTTTAAATAAGCAAAAACCTCTGTTTACGACATTTTAGATGCATGTGATTCCTGAAGGTCAGTTAGAATTTATATGCAGATGAGAGTGTTGCTGTTTTATAATTCAAAAGTTTAAGTTCACTAATTTGCTATTTAAAAACCTATCCACCGTGAATTGTAATATCTCTTTTTTATAAATATTTTATGTACATATGTACAATTGTATTTTAGAAAAATATTAAGGTGTCAAAAGATACAATAACTTATTTCAAATATACAAAGGGATGTTTTAAAAAAACATACTAAATCCTAACCTCCGTGAAGCTATCTTCCGTGAAGCTCTAATATTCAAAATGTATGATTTCTTAAAATTCTTGCATTAGTGCAGAACCACTTATGTTATGTTATTACTAGACCTGGTGGCTTCCCAAAAACCCCATTCTAGACTAACAGTGAAACAATAAAAAATGCATGTTACAGTATATGTTGAAAAATTGTTTTATTTTCTAATAAATAAATATTCTTTTGGCAAGATTGAAATGTTAACTCGATTTTTAGAAAAATATTGGGATTGGTCTGAATTTTCTAAAGGCTGAAAATTCTGGTCCACCATATTGTGATTCTGCTTTTTCATTTGTCAATCGTCTTTGAGATAATTGCTGTGGTTTATTAACATAATAATTACCATTTTTTAAGTTGTCATAATTTTGTCCCTGATAGCAAAATTTGATTCTAAGAATCTTCTAAGAACATATGACCCGGAATAATGGAATATTCTTAGAACCTTCCCTTATTGCTAAGAATGTTCTTAGGGACTTTTAAAACATTCAATAGATACCCTTTTAATGATGCAATTAGATTCTTGGAAGCTTCTTAAAACCTCCCTAAAAAGCATTCTAAGAACATTTTAAGAATACGTTTTTGGAATGTTCTTAGAAAGTTTCTTATGGAGCTTCTAGGAAGCTTTTGAGAATATTTCCAAATATGTCAGATAGCCACGTTCTAATATGTTGGATTCTACATTCGTAAAATTCTTCAGGAGGCGACAAATACGCCTCACTGTCATAATATGACAGTGAAATGTATTTGTCGTCCCCTTAAAAAATTTTGCGACATATTAATATATATCTATTTAAAAATATTAAATAAACAATTTGACCTCTAAACCATAAGTTGTATGACAATATTTCATAAAAAGTAAAATTGGAAAATTTTGTGGGATAAGTCAGATTAGATTGAAGTTGAAGATAGTTAGGATTATTATACATAAAAATGTTAATTTAGAAATAAAAAATCGCTATACAAATTAATAAATATTTATTTTTAACATAAAATAAAATATAAAAAAAACAAAATATTTCCTTATAAAATAATTCTTTATAAAAGAAAAAACCAAATAGTTCTTCATAAAAAAACATTTTTCATTGTATTAGTTGGATAGAAGATTTTATGTAAAAGCCGGATAATTTAGATACCTATATATTGTAAAAGTATTTTTGTTATCGAATATTGTTTTAATTTTATAAATAACTATAAAAAAATATTTTGGGTTGTGTTTTTTACTTAGTATTTAATACTAAGTATAGGTACCTTTATACGTAGATTATGGTATATTTTACTATTATATAGGTACCTAATTGAACTGAATATGCTTAACAGAATGTTTCAGGAATATTCCTAAATGAACTTTCTATAGCAATTACTTTCTCAACATTCTAAGCATATGTTTAGAGTGGATTAATTTTTACCACTAAACTTTGCACCTTCTAAGAACCTGCTTATAGGCCAGTGAGAATATTCTTAGGATTATGCTATATTTCTTTTAAGCATGTTCTTTAGAAGAAATATAGCATGATCCTAAGAATATTCTCACTGGAAGGTTTAAAAAACATTCTTAGAACATGACTAGAAGAAATATAGCATGATCCTAAGAATATTCTCACTGGAAGGTTTAAAAAACATTCTTAGAACATGACTAGAAGAAATATAGCATGATCCTAAAAATATTCCCACTGGAAGGTTTAAAAAACATTCTTAGAATAAACTGTGCTATCAGGGGTAGATTGTATCCATTATTTCTGTTGGTACCATAATTTGTAGCATAATAGTTTTGCCCTATATTATTGGGAATATTCCTGTAATAATTATAGTCTTTCACTTGTCTTTTCTCTCTTGTTTGGTGGCGGTTTCTTACAAAATATTTTAAATATGAATGTGCAAATGGGTTCCTTCCAAATCTATTTTGCAATTTTTGTAGACGATCTTCAAAATCTTCATCAGTTTCTTGATTTTTTTGCCCATAAGTTTGAAATATGATACCCAGTATAAAAAGAACCACCAAACAATTTTTCTGCTGAAAAAAGTTTTGATTGGGGAGATTTGTATAGTTATTTATAAAATACTTACTGAAAACATTTTTGCAGATGTTTTGCACTGGTCACAATAGGTATAATTTGTAAAATATATTATGCATTTATATGTACCTACCTATACGTAATTTTTTTAACAACTGTATATTTAAGATGTTAATATTTTCTTCAAACAAAATACGTTTCAACAATTAACACAATTTCTATGTTTTTTTTTCTTCTAGTTTATCTAAACTTTACTTAACCTTATTTAATTATAATAAAAAATAAAACACATTATATTATTATAAAATAAATCAACATTTCAATTATATTTTCTTTGCAAGAAAATTTGTGTAAAATAATTTAAATTCACACATATTAAATATCACTTGATGATTATTACAATAAATACCACTATGTAATAAAAATCTTTTTAAATATTATTTTACTGAAATTTCAATTAAGGCTACATTGCAATTACATTTCAGTCTCAAAAAGTTGTCTACCCCCACTTTTTTACTGTTAAGAGAATAATGAAAATATAACAATTTTAAGGGCTAGGTATACCTACCTAATTAAATTAAATTCTTTTAAACTTTTTATTAACAATAAATATTGTTAATAAAAAGTTTAACAGAATTTTTTATGTTTCTAAAATTTTGTATAATATTTTTAAAGGTTCTTCACAGACTTTAACATGTTCTTTAGATGTAAGGACCTCTGTAGAACATTTCAAGATATTCTTGAAGTTGAAGTCTTTTTCGAGAAATTTTGACATATTAATTCTGTTTAGTTTTAGTCTCACCCTTTACCATTAATTGGGATAAGATCTTAAGAACATTTAAAATGCACTAAAAGCATCTTAAGATGTCTTAAATATTTTAAAGGAATAAGATGTCTTTGAAACATTTAGAAGATGTTAGTAGTAAATATAAGTGAAGGTTTTTAAATGATGAGCCGTCAAATATATTAAAAACATTTAAAATGCCTTGAGAACTTTTTAAGATGCATTAAGAACATTTTAAAATGCCTTAAGAACATTTTAAGATGTTAATACCAGAACGTTTTAATATTCGAAAGTCTATATAAAACGTACATTTTAAGGTATATTTGGAACATTTTAAGATGGCTGCAGATCATTTTAAGAACACTAAAATGCCTTGTTAATATTTTCTTCAAACAATTCAAAAATTCTGTTTTTTTCTAGTTCATCTAAACTTAACTTAACCTTATTTAATTATAATAAAAAATAAAACATATTATATCTTTGAAATATTTTATTATAAAATAAATCAACATTTCGAGTTTATTTTCTTTGCAAGAAAATTTGTGTAAAATAATTTAAATTCACACTTATGCACCTACATATAAAATATCACTGATGATTATTACAATAAATATCACTTTGTAATAAAAATCTTTTTAAAAATTATTGTACTAAAATGTCAAGGCTACAATGCAATTAGATTTCAGTCTCAAAAAGTTGTCTACCCCCACTTTTTAATCTAATGTAATAACAAAGATGTAGAAGTGGAAGTTTTTATGGAACCGTATTTTGGACTTGGTGAGATATTTTTCACTGTTAAGGTAATGACACAGTTGTAAGAATCTCAGTTAAGTACCAGAGGTTCAGTTGACAATTTATTGTTGATGGAAAGTTTCTTCACAGACCTTAACATGTTCTTTAAATGTAAGGACATTTTAAGACATTCTTTTTGACATTAATGGGGCCCATTAATGCCGTGAGTTTTGAGCAACTCCTTCAGCTGACTGATCTCTCTCTCTTTATCGGCCAAAATCCTCTTTAAGTTTTCAATCTGTTCGCTCTCTTCGGTCTTTTCGACCCTCTTGAGCAGATCGGAGGCGGCTGGGCGGGCCTGCCAGTTGGCGGCGGTGAGCTCGGCCACGATGCCGACCAATAGGGGCTCTCGTAGCCTCAACCCCTCATCTAAAGCGCCCCTGCGGAGCTCGGTGACGCTCCCCACCCGCTCCATGTCGGTGTGGAACGTCTCTACGAGCTCGTACAGGACGATCCCGAGGGAGTAGAGGTCGCTTTTGGCGACGCACTCGCCCGCCAGCTGCTCGGGAGCGGCGTACAGCTTGGTGCCGAAGGCCAAGGTGTGCCGCGCGCTCTGCAGAGGGCAGGCCAGGCCGAAATCGCCCAGCTGCACCAGTACGTTGTTGCCGTCGTCGGGCTGGATGAACACGTTGCTGGGTTTTATGTCGTGGTGCACGATCCCCTTGGAATGAATGTATTCGATACCTAAACAAATCATGTTCGAAACCAGCTTCAGAAAACTTTTAGTTAAAAGATGTCTTTGGAGCATTTTAAATTGTCCCAGTTATCTTCAGTAGAACATTTTAAGATGGCTAGATCATTTTAAGAACATTAAAATACCCTAAGAATAGTTTAAGATCTTAAGAACATTTAAAATGCACTAAAAACATCTTATACGATGTAAAATATGTTAATAATATTCAAATGCCTTAAGAACTTTCTAAAATGTCTTAAAAACATTTTAAGATTACTACTGTAGAGGATTTTAGGATAATGAGATGTCAAATATGTTAAAAACACTTGATAACTTTTTAAGATGCATTAAGCACATTTTATGTTTTAAAATTGTATCAATAGAACAGTTAAAATGCCTTAAAAACTTTTTAAAATGCCCTAAAAACAGTTTAAGATCTTAAGAAGATTTAAAATGCACTAAAAACATTTTAAAGTATGTTAAATATGTTAACAGCATAAAACTATGTCTTTAGAGCATTTCAAAATTTCCCAAGAAAGTTTTAAGTTATCTTTAGAACATAGAAGTAGCTCAGTAGAACATTTTAAAATGGCTAGATTATTTTAAGAACATTAAAATGCCTTAAAAACTTTTTAAAATGCCCTAAGAACAGACTAAGGTCTTAAGAACATTTAAAATGCACTAAAAACATCTTATAGGATGTAAAATATGTTAAGAGCATTAAACTATGTCTTTAGAGCATTTTAAAATGTCCCAAGAAAGTTTTAAGTTATCTTTAGAACATAGAAGTAGCTCAGTAGAACATTTTAAAATGGCTAGATTATTTTAAGAACATCAAAATGCCTTAAAAACTTTTTAAAATGCCCTAAAAACTTTTTAAAATGCCCTAAGAACAGTTTAAGATCTTAAGAACATTTAAAATGCACTAAAAACATCTTATAAGATGATAGAAAATGGTAGAACATTTTAAGATGGCTAGTTCATTTTAAGAACATTAAAATGCCTTAAAAACTTTTTAAAATACCCTAAGAACAGTTTAAGATCTTAAGAAGATTTAAAATGCACTAAAAACATTTTAAAGGATGTAAAATATGTTAAGAGCATTAAACGCTGTCTTAAGAGCATTTTAAAATTTCCCAAGAAAGTTTTAAGTTATCTTTAGAACATAGAAGTAGTTCAGTAGAACATTTTAAAATGGCTAGATTATTTTAAGAACATTAAAATGCCTTAAAAACTTTTTAAAATGCCCTAAGAACAGACTAAGGTCTTAAGAACATTTAAAATGCACTAAAAACATCTTAGAGTATGTAAAATATGTTAAGAGCATTAAACTATGTCTTTAGAGCATTTTAAAATGTCCCAAGAAAGTTTTAAGTTATCTTTAGAACATAGAAGTAGCTCAGTAGAACATTTTAAAATGGCTAGATTATTTTAAGAACATTAAAATGCCATAAAAACTTTTTAAAATGCCCTAAAAACTTTTTAAAATGCCCTAAGAACAGTTTAAGATCTTAAGAACATTTAAAATGCACTAAAAAATCTTATAAGATGATAGAAAATGGTAGAACATTTTAAGATGGGTAGTTCATTTTAAGAACATTAAAATGCCTTAAAAACTTTTTAAAATGCCCTAAGAACAGACTAAGGTCTTAAGAACATTTAAAATGCACTAAAAACATCTTATAGAATGTAAAATATGTTAAGAACATTAAAAGATGTCTTTAGAGCATTTTAAAATGTCCCAAGAAAGTTTTAAGTTATCTTTAGAACATAGAAGTAGTTCAGTAGAACATTTTAAAATGGCTAGATTATTTTAAGAACATCAAAATGCCTTAGAAACTTTTTAAAATGTCCTAAGAACAGTTTAAGATCTTAAGAACGTTTAAAATGCATTAAAAACATCATCAGATGTAAAATATGTTAAGAACATTCAAATGCCTTAAAAACTTTTTAAAATGTCTTAAAAACATTTTAAGATTACCTACTGTAGAGGATTTTAGGATGATGAGACGTCAAATATGTTAAAAACATTTAAAACGCATTGATAACTTTTTAAGATGCATTAAGAACATTTTATGTTTTAAAATTGTATCAACAGAACGGTAAAAATGTATTAAAAACTTTTTAAAATGCCCTAAGAACAGTTTAAGATCTTAAGAACATTTAAAATGCACTAAAAACATCTTATAGGATGTAAAATGTCCCAAGAAAGTTTTAAGTTATCTTTAGAACATAGAAGTAGCTCAGTAGAACATTTTAAAATGGCTAGATTATTTTAAGAACATCAAAATGCCTTAAAAACTTTTTAAAATGCCCTAAGAACAGTTTAAGATCTTAAAACATTTAAAATGCACTAAAAACATCTTATAAGATGTAAAATATGTTAAGAACATTCAAATACCTTAAGAACTTTACCTACTGTAGAAGATTTTAAGATGATGTAACGTCAAAACATATGTTAAAAACATTTAAAATGCCTTGATAACTTTTTAAGATACATTAAGAACATTTTAAGATGTTGGTAGTAATATTAGAACGTTTTAATATTCGAAAATGATAACTTTAAAATGTCCTATGAAAATTTTAGATATCTTTAGAACATTTTTAGATGACTGTAGATCATTTTAAGAACATTGAAAATGCCTTTAAAACTTTTACGAAATGCCTTTAGAGCAGTTAAATATGTCTTTAGAAGATTTAAATATGTTAGTAGAACATTTAAAATGCCCCTAAAACAATTTAAGATATCTTTAGAATATTTTAAAATGTTGTTGAGTATAATAGAACATTTTAAGATTATGAGATGTAAAATATGTTAAGAACATTGAAACTTTCTAAAATGCCCTAAGAACATTTAAATATGTTAGTAGTAGCAGTATAGTATTTTAAAAACATTTAAAAACAATTTAAGATGTCTTTAGAATATTTTAAAATGTTGTTGGGTATAATACAACATTTTAAGATAATGAGATGCAAAATATAGTAAGAACATTGAAGCTTTCTACAATGCCCTAAGAACATTTTATATCTTTTAAAATATTGTTAGTAGTAGTGTGCATTTTAAGAACATTGAAAATGCCTTTAAAACTTTTTAAAATGCCTCTAGAACATTTAAATATGTATTTAGAAGATTTAAATATGGTATTAGTAGCAGTAGAACATTTTAAGAACATTTAAAATGCTCATAGAAACAATTTAAAATGTGTTTAGAATATTTTAAAATGTTGTTGGGTATAATAGAAAATTTTAAGATATTGAGATGTAAAATATGGTAAGAACATTGAAACTTTCTAAAATGCCCTAAGAACATTTTATATCTTTTAAAATGTTATTAGTAGTAGGGTGCATTCTAAGACCATTGAAAATAATTTAAAAACTTTTAAAATTCCCTTAGAACATTTTAAATGTCCCTAAACAAATTTAAGATGTCTAGAACATTATTTTAGGTACTCACCCTTTAAAAGTTGCATTAAAATCTCCATATTCGTCTTAAACCTAACTTTTTGATTGTTTATAGGAACTAATGCACCTTTACTGTTTCTTTCAATCTCATTCCTTTTCTCCAACCATTGTTTTAAAGTTGACTGACACAGTGCCATCTGTATGTATAACGTAGCCCATTTCATGGGTTTTTTAATAATCCTTAACTCTTGAATTTTGTTGAAATTTACTTTACACAAAGCGTTTATATCCGAAGCACTCTTAGATTTGTCTTTTGTGAGGTTAGTTCTTGATTTTGTTGTTAAGGTTAGGTTACGGATATTGCTTAGGCTACGTTCAAAGTCTATTTCGAAGTCCGTGTCTTGAGACTGTCTCTCTGAGAATGATAAAGTTACGTCTTTGGAGAAAACATATTCATCATCAACGTGACTTGTTTTGGAATTTTGCGTTTCTCTATTGGTTTTTATTGCGTTATTATTATAACAGCCTTGAACGATTTCCAACCAGGCAGCTTTGTATTGTACTATATTCGAGTGGTTTAAGCTAGCAAAAGTTTTAACTTCCGATAAGTAGGAACGCACAGCATCAATACCTTCACAACGAATGGGTATTTTTTTCATTGCATAGCTTGTACCGTCTAATTTATGCCTGACTAGAAAAACTTGCCCGAACCCTCCCCCGGCTATGTATTCCACCTCTTCAAACTCTCTCAGGTAGTGCGAGTCGGTTATGTCGTTCTTAGGCCATGTCGGTTTCATCAAAGTCAACTTTTTGTTTTGATTTGCTGTTATCAAATGTATGAAACCCTTTTGCAGCTGACTCCTCATCCCTTCAAACTCGTTCATGTTGTAGCTCTCGTCTATCATCCTCATTTTATGCAGTTTACTGCAAATTAACTTATACATTTCCTTGGCTTTCTGAGCATCTGTTTCATAGATCGTACAGATGTTCATAACCAAAGATTCTATCAAAAGACTGATCGGCGTCGATATTCGCGGCTGTTTCTTCATAACACACAACGATTTCGACGATTTTTCCAAATCTGAATCACTGTTCTCTCCCTCTGAACTTTCCGAGGTTGCACCACTTTGAGAAAGCGACGATTTTGCCATTTTCACGCAGTTTTATCAAGGAATTAGTCATGAACACATGTGTGGTAAATTAAAATTAAATCACTAACTATACGGCTGTTTTACACCACTTTACATCCACCCAATTTTCCAGACATTTCTAGAATTTCAGGTTATGTTCGCAAAACTAATTTGACAAATAACCAGCGTTGCCGCACTAAAATTATCAATTACCCACGCCACTATGACAGAATACCCGGTTTTACCCCCACTTTAACATGAAAATCCCCATAAAATTACCCGTCCGAATACGTGGCTTGTTTAAAAAAAAAAAATTATTAATAGTAAATAGGTAGGTATTATAATAGTCTATAGACTAATACTATTAGGTAGGAACTTTATTAATACATAGATATGCTTACTTTATTAATAAATAGTAGATGAACCTCCTCTCAGGGATTAAGTACTTTATTTTTTCCGTAAATTAGAATTTAACATTTTGTTTGATGGTTCAAATCTGACAGGACCTGCCTATGGGACCCCCTCTTTTGTGTGTAATGCGACGATTGTGTTTGTCTGTGATTGTGTAGGTGTTCAGTCTGTTTCTGTTATAAATAAAATACCCGTTGACTGTCAAATTAACGTCAAGGACATGCGCAATATAAAATAAAGACGTATAGCGCCATCTATTAGGTAACTGTATAAACCCAGTCAACAAAATGGTCAAAATGAACTTTGACATTTTCATTTTCGCAGAAATAGCGTAGGTCGAATGGTTGAATTTTAATTTTAAAGTTTTATTTTTTGCTGTTGGTTCTACAATTTTTATTTTTGCAAATTTGGGTCAAAGGGTTAAAATCCCCGGTTTTACCCGTTTAATTATTTTACCCGGCACATACTCCAAAATACCCGAATTTTGGGTAAAATACCCGGCAACGGCAACGCTGCAAATAACCAAGGATAAATAAGATGTTTGTTGATATATTTTTTGCATAATCCCATTGAATGCAATATTTTAAGGATTCAAAGGTCATAAATATATTAAAATGTATTAAGTCATTTAAAATAAACACATAAGTTATTGTAATTGTACTTTCTAAGGCACTTTTTTAATAAATAATTGTTCAAATTTTAATATGCCGCCAAAAACAACCTATAAAATCATGCTATACTACCGCCATCTATGCCGTTATCAACGAACTATGAATTTATTGACGGTATTTGAATAAATTTGTAGGTTTTTTAACTAAATTTCCATTATAAACCATTTTATAAAACAATTACAACAATTCACAATTGAAAAAACGCATTTAAAACAATAAACGCATGGTAATAATTAAACCTGCCAACAGATGTCACTCAAACCTCAAACAATAGCTGCCCATCTATATTGTCTGTGGTTAAAATCGAATGCTGACATGCGCAAAAATGTCAGTGACGTTTGTAAATGGCAACCACCCTGTTGTCATTTACGAAACGTTGAAATTTTCTCTCAAAACGATTAGTTAACGATACGCGGGGTAAAATGACGTCGAAATCGGAAAAAGACAAGACGAAACAGCTGCAGGACAAGTGCCAATCGGTGCTGAACGGCCTTCTCAGAGACGAAGATAATAAATACTGTGTCGATTGCGATTCCAAAGGTACTTATGTTTTTTTATTCGGGATATTAAAGCTTGAAGTTTAAGGGATGTTATTTAACTGTTCAGGGTTGAAGTTCATAAACAGGCTTGCAATAAACAATTCTTATCTATGCCTTGTCTATGTGTACATATTAGAGAGTAGTTTTTAATTAAGGAATTTATTTTAATCATATGTAAATAATCGTTAAATATTATAGTAAAATAATCACGTGAAATTTAATACATTTTTTAAAGCAACCCATGCATTTTTGACATATGTTTGTCAGATTTGACACAAATTAGGGTTATGTTTTTAATACATTTTTGACAATATCTTTGGAATTCTGTACAAAACCAATCTCTTTGATAAAATATAGGATATTACTCATCACATTTTAAGGAAGTTAAAACTGATAGCAGAGTTAATTGACTTCATTATCATAAATCTGGGAAATACATCGAAATATAAATCTTTTGGTTGTTTAATAGGTCCTAGATGGGCGTCATGGAATATAGGCGTATTTTTGTGCATAAGATGCGCGGGAATTCACAGAAACCTAGGAGTCCACATTTCGAAAGTAAAATCAGTTAATTTGGACACTTGGACTCCAGAACAGGTTGTGTCACTGCAACAAATGGGAAATTCCAGAGCCAGGGCTGTTTACGAAGCCAATCTTCCTGATAATTTTAGGTAAGAAATACGTTTTGTAAAATTTGACTTTTTCACCAATAAAAATGATTGTAGGCGGCCCCAGAACGACAGTAGCTTGGAAACGTTCATAAGAGCGAAATACGAGCACAAAAAGTACATAGCTAGGGAGTGGGTGCCTCCAGTGTTGCCAAAAGTAAATTGGGAGAAGGAAATCGACGACGAGATCGAAAAGCAGAAAAGAAAAAAAAAGACTACAGTCGAAAAAAAAATTGTTTTGGGTAATGTGGAAGTGCCCCAGTTGCCAAAACCGAAAAACCCCAGCCCAAAGCCGTCTAGGAATAGTGCCAATATAGCTAGTGTTGAAAATAAGGACAGTAGTAAAAAGGACAGTGACTTATTAGGTAAGCAAACTTATTTTCAATTGAGATCACCTTAAAAACGCTTCTTAGGACAACAAAATTAAAATTATAAAAGAGGTGGTAAAAAATTAAATTATTATTTTTTACAAAAACGGTATTTTTGGGGTTTAAGACTTATCTTTGCAATAAAACTTTAATTACAATATTTTTAGATAGATTAAATAAAACAATTTTATAAAATATTATAAAAATGATTTCATGAACAAAATTGGCCTGATAAAACACATTTTTAGTAAAATTGAGATTAAAAAATTCAGGTTAAAAAAAGTACCCGACTCGACGTATAGATGGCGTTGGTTGAAAATAATGATTATGCTAGAGATTACCAACCTTGCAAAGCTTAAATTTGTCGAGTATTTGTTTGGTAGTAATCAGTAGTGAACACTCAGTGAATTTGTAAAAACATGGAAAAAATTGGTCATATTTATGTGATACAATACTTTTATTTGAAAGGCTTCAGTCCCACTGATATCAAAGTGGAGATGGATTCTACTCTGGGGGAGGGTGCTCCTTCATATAAAACAGTAAAATATTGGGTGGCAAAATTTAAACAAAGCGGTACATATATATACATATATTACATTATTAGAGTTAATATTTTTTATAAAAACGATTTTTGCAATAAAACTGATTACGACATTTTTAGATAGATAACTATAAAAAATAATTATATTTTTCAAATAGTTGATATCTTCTCACAAAATAACAATAGAATAGCGTTTAAAACGTTTTTAAGGCGATTAAACATCATTTTATATAACACGCCATTTCACTTTTTAATCGTAAATGTTTTAAATGTAAAAGAAAATTATAGTAGGTTTTTTAAAATTATGGAATATATAATTTAAGCTGTTTTTTGATCAGAAGCACCTATAATAAGTTATTAATAAAATCACAGGCGTGCTCTCACTTTTGTGGAAATTCCATGGCTATAAACGTATTATATTGTGAAATGACCTTAATTTTATTTGTCAGTGTCAGTATTTTGGTTTTTTAGGTTCAGGAGTAAAGTTCATTTTTTGTGTGGGACAAATATAGACCTACCTTTTCTTTTTAACGACTTAATAAATAAGTTAAAATAATTATTTTATTAATATTAATAATTATTATTTAATTAGAGAAATTTGAATGAATATGTAATAATCACAATCTACACAACAAACCCTGTTTTACCTTGTTTCGCGCATACTGAAAATCACTGCAACACTGCACAGAATCTAACGGCGGCCATTTTTATGTTTATACAGAATAAAAATCATTTTGAACGTTGTGTTTCTTACAGATGCTCTTGTAAGCCTCAAATGAGGCCTTTAAGTGCTAAGAACAACCATTTTAAACCTTATTCTATCAAGGCTGTCATCAAACTATCAAACTTAAATTTGTGGGTTATGGTAAATTAACCTTAAAATTGAAATTTGACAGTTTAATGACAGCCCTGATAGAATAAGGTTTATTTTTACCAAAAGAGAAGTAAAACGGTTGTTCTTAGAACTTTTAGGTTTACATTCGTCTCTGTAGGAAACACAACGTTTAAGCCTGAATTATAGATTGCCTTCCTTCCTTCCTCCCGTAGTCGTGCCCGTACGATTTGTGCGTCTTGTAAAAAGTCAATTTATAGATTTCCGTGTAAAATTCCGTAACCATGCCCGATGACACCTAAAATGGTTGACATATGTTTTTGTTTATATTCTGCGTTTTACCCATTGTGTGTAAATATGAAAGATAAACATTTATAATATAATATATAATAGTTATTTATGTCATTAGGTTAAGAAGTAAGGCTTTTTGTGCTAAGCTCAAAGTTTGAAGGCCGACGCGTAGCGGAGGCCTACAATTGAGCGAAGCACAAAAAGACACTTCTTGGCCGAATGGCATACAACATTTTATCTTCAAAGCACTTTATATGGGTCAATTTAATTCAACATGAAAGCGCCCTAACCTCACTTTTTTTAATCTCATTTATTTATTAGCTAAAGATTACATTAAATGTACAATAATTATTATTCCTTTTAGAAGCAGTAATAGTTTGACAATACCTAACTACATGATTTAAAGTCGTTTTTTCGCGTAAATACTATGTAATACTACGGTTAAATAAGTCATGACGTCACAGTTAATTCATATAACCATGGTTAGGTTTCTAACATTTGACATTTGTTTACTTGTTCATAACCTATAATTTTTAAAATGTGTTTTTACCTATTTATATTTAATTTCTATGCTTTTACCGGTGTTAATAAATTTCTTTGCCTCTTCTTATACCTAGTAAATTCTTTTTCTATAGGTACTAGTTTTTTCAGTGCACGTTATCCAATTCTCCTACATGTTTAATACAAAATAAGAAAGAATATAAAACAAACCTGCATATAATTCCTCCACTTGTGGAGAGTCCACAATATGGAGCACCCTATTATTTATTTTTACTGACAACACCCCGTTTACCATTTTAATACAAAGTTTAAATTCGGTTTAAGAGCAATTGTACCTACTTAAAATATTTTAAATTTCAAATGTAAACAACTTTTGACAGATCAAAACAGAAAAATATATATTAAAAAGAGAAAGATTATTAACCACGTTGAATAACTAGCTCAGCGATATAGTTTTATGGTCTGGTATTTGTGACGTCATAGTTAGAATTTTTGAACGCACTCTAAACGCAAAAATTACTTAACTATTAACCAAGGTTAAGTTTAATAACCATAGTATTTCATGGTATTTACGCGAAAAAACGACTTAAGTAGAAATGGATTTTTGTAAGAAAATGGTTTACCTACTTACCCTCTTGCTATTACATTGAATTCAATTAATTGTTTAAAAAATAGGTATCTAATTTCAATTTGTTTGCATTTTTATTAAAAAAATAGGTAGTTTGGATTGTTTACGCTGTGTTTAACATTTAATTTTACTAAAAACTTAAAGCAAATTAAAATTTAAAGATAATTTAAATCGTAGAAAAAGAAAACACAACTGTGAAACGTCAAATTGCAATGTCCTAACCTAACTTTTTGTTTTATTATTCATATTTAATTTTACAATAATTTAATGAAAAATATTAAACATTATAATGTTATAACAGTAAAACAAACAAATTAGTGCTTATTATAAATAAATTAAACCAGTTTAGTACGTTAATTTCTTAGAAAAGGATTAATTTGTCAAAACAATACCCCTAGCGAGAAAAAATCGAACTAATTACTTGCCTCATAAAAATTTTTATCGGCCTAGGCCATAACAAGGTATTTCTTTATCGAATGTTGACAACAATAAAGTTTAAATTATAGACTGCGTGGAGATAAAATATATTATATTAGTGCAGTGCTTACAATTTTAATTGCCCAGGCAGCTTGTTGTATACTGCCCAACTATGGAGAAAGGCAGTAACTGCTAAACAAGAAATTTGTGGGAAATTAGCATAAACTAAATTTGTATAAAAAGCAGTAGGTATTTAACTGATTTATTTAACTTATCAAGATAGTTTACTGCATTTCTTTGTTGAATTAAGATACAAAATGTCCATAGCTTTATCATAGCACAAGGAAACGCATTTAGATTTTTTTTGTAGTTACTGCCTTTCTCCATAGTAGGGCAGTTTAATGAAAAAAAAAAACATCGAACAAGACGTTGGAAGACTCGCCCACTTTACCAAGACCGGGAAACTAGGGGGTTTTACAAAGCAACTTTTCTAAAAATGAAAGACATTGATCATAAACATAAATATCCTATTTAGAGACACAAATTATTTAATAAACTGAACACCTATCTTAAATAATACTAAACAGTCATGTATTTTAAATATTTTGTACCTACGCGCTGTCACCCTACAGCGCATGTCCATAACAAGCACTGTGATTGGTCATGTCAAAGACCTTTACGGTGAAAGATAAAACTTAAAAACTTCTACGGGAGGAAGGAATGCCATCCTTACGGTACGGAAATCTATAACAGGCACTACAATTTATATAAACATTTTTGACGTAATTGTCACCATTAACATTGCCCGTTATTAATTTTAATTAAACTTAGCAATTATTGATACTTTAAAATATTAAAATAACTTCAAAATATGATTTTGTTAAGAAAATATTTTATTCTTTGATTTTTTTTTATTACTATAATTGCAAAATATTATCACAAAGTATTAAAAATTCCTACACGGGAAATGTTAATGGCGACAATTACGTAAAGTTCATCTTCTACGGGAGGAAGGAAGGAAGGAAGGCAATCTATAATTCAGGCTTTAGGCTTACAAGCGCCTCTGTAAGAAACACAACGTTTAAAACGATTATTAATCTGTATTAGGGCCACCAATTTTCCCTAAAAAAAGAATGTCTCGAGTTAAAACTAACCTTAAAACTAAAACACTGACAGCGACAATGTCAACCATATGATTAAGGTCATTTTACACTACGATTTTATACAGAATTTCTGCACATTATAGTTCTCCCACCTCTAATCATTCTGCTAAAACACGCCTGTGATTGGCTACTTTATTTTATTGATAACTAATTAATGGAGCGTCTGATCGAAAAACGGCAAAGACTGTTCGACTTAAAACTTAAAAACTGCGATCCTGCAGGTTTACAAAATGGCGACGACAGCTTTTCGGGCTTCCTGTCGGCCGCCGCCGCCGCGTCGGCGGACGCGAAAAAGCCGGAAGACTTGACGTCGAGTTCCGCTTCCGTTCCGGCGGCGGCGGCGGACATCCGGACGGAGGAGGAGAGCTTCTTCAACCAGACCGCTCCCACGGAGAAGGAGCGCGTCAAGCTGACGAAAGACAGCATCTTGGCGCTGTACGGCAGCGCCCCCTCGGCGCAGCCGTTCCAAGCTGCGGCCGCCGCCGCGCCTCAGCTGCAGCAGCAGATGCTCGGCGGCGGCGGTTTCGGCGGGTTTCCGGCCGCTCCAGTCGCGCAGCAGCCGTTCGGGCAGGCTGCGCAGAACGGCATGGGCGGCGCGTTCGGGGTTTGGCCGCAGCAGCAGACCCCACCGCAGGTATGTCGAAATAACGTTTTTTTTAATCTTTTTACGTTGTTTTTTTTTAACCATTAGAATACCTAACCATAAATTTTTTATGCTTTTTCGTTATTTGTTTTTTTTTGTTTGGAGTTGTAAATTTTTTTTTTTTAATTTTTGTTGGGAGTGTTTTTATTTTTTTTTTAAAGGTTTTAGGTTGTTTTTTGTTTATTTTGAATGTTTGGTAAGTCAAAATGATGTTTTTTTATTATCATTGTTTTTCTTAGGATTTTTTTCAAAATCTTATTTTAATGATTTTTAAATAATATTTAAACATATTATGTCATAATACCGTTTTTATCAAAATAGTTTAATTTTCAAATGTCAAATTTTTATAATGGTCTTAAGTTGTTGTTTTTTTATTTTTAATGTTTTGTAAGTCAAAATGACGTTTTTTTGTGTTCCCAAATAATAGCTGGGGTTTAAATTCAATTTAAAAATTATTAAAAAAAGATTTAAAAAAATGCCTGAATAAACAATAAAAATAACAAACATCATTTTGACATATTATGTCAAAATGCCGTTTTTTAATAATTTATTTTAATTTGGTATGGGGGCATTCCACGTTACTCGGTAATAATTGTCCCGCCCGTCACAATTAAAAATTGTGGGTAAAAACCACAAGTTATTAAATTAAAATTTTATAATATTATTTTTATTGTGCTTATAACTTATTAAAAGCATAATAAACAATTAATTTTATAACGTGTAGTTTTTACTCACAATTTTTAATTGTGACGGGCGGGACAAAAATCCCCGAGTAACGTGGAATGACCCTAGGTCAAAATCTTTTTTAATGATTTTATGTTGTTTTTGTTTTTTTTTTAATTTTTTTGGTACTTTACTCTCAAGAAAAACAGTTAAGGTAAAACACGTCATTTTTGACATATGTCAAAATACGGTGTTTTTTTAATTATTTTTTTCATTAAAATGGTTTAATTTTAATTTTTATTTTAATGGTTTTGGGTTGTTTTGTTGGTGTTTTTTTATTATTTTTTTTCAAAATAACGTTTTTTATTTTAATTTTTGTCCCTAAATAATAAAAATCATTTAAAAAAGATTTAAAAAAATTCCCAAGACAAACAATAAAAAAAAACGTCATTTTGACATGATATGTCAAAATACTGTTTTTTTTTTGTTTTTTTTAATTAAAATGTTTTTTATTTGTTTTTTTTCGGTAGGTTCATATGTCAAAATCTTTGTTTGTTTTTTTATTTTTAATGTTTGGTAAGTCAAAATAACGTTTTTTATTTCATTGTTATTCTTAGGAATTTTTAAAATCTTTTTTAAATGATTTTTAAATAATATTTAAACAAAAATTAATCAAAATACTTTAAATTTTTTTTGGTCCCTAAATAATATGTAGGGTTTAAATATCATTTAAAAATCATTAAAAAAAGATTTTTTAAAAGATTCTTAAGAAAATCAATCAAAATAAAAAACGTCATTTTGACATATTATGCCTTTTTTATTTTTATTTTTTTTTAGTTTCCTGAATAATTTTTTATGCTTGTTCGTTCTTTGTTGGTTTTTTTAATATATTGGTTTTTTAAATCTTTTTATTTTAATAATGCAACTTATGTATATATATATATATGTATAAAATAGTGTAAATTCCTCAATTTTTTATGATCTTTTCAATTCCAAAGGTGTGGAACAAGCAACAACCCGTCGCTCAGTTCCCCGCCACCGCCGCCGCCCCTCAATTCGGCTCCGCCCCCCAATTCCCCCCGCAACAACAACAACAACAAAACGGCCCCCTCTCGCAATTCACCGCCGCCGCCGCGTTCGCCAATCAGATGCACGCCACGCCCCCCACCATGGCCAACCAGTTCGCCGCGTTCGCGTCCCCGCCCCCCAACGCTTTCGCGGCGGCGGCGGCAACGTCGCAAAAAACTCCGAACCCCTTCTTCGCCCCGGGGGCGGCGCAACCGGGCGGCGCTTTCGGCGCGCCGGCGCCCTCCGCGGGCGGCATCAACTTGCAGCAGCAGTTCGACGGTTTGACCCTGAACGGGGCGGCGCCGCCCCTCACCGCCACCAATATATGGCAGTAGGATACGGTGAGTGACGATCGAATGTTTCAGTGGAACTGATTTGCTCATTTTTTGTCCAAAATTATCTCCATAGAAAGCAGTAAACCAATCACAACACGGCATTCTAAATCGCACCTAGTGTGCTGTGGAGAATGCCGTGCTGTGATTCGTTCATTTCTATGGAAAACGTTGGCAGTTTTGCCATCTTAACGACCAATGGCGAAGCGTCAGTTGTTTATTTTACACTTTAGTTACCTATTTTAATAAACATGTTAAATAATTTAATTTTTACTTAAAACATATTTTAATTAAATATCCTAACCTGCGTAGGTAATATTATTTTATTTAAGAAAACACTTCTACCGCAGTTGCCCAGCGTAGTTATAAATTTTAACACGCGTCACTTATAAAAATAAACTTTATCGCTAGCTTTATTGTTTTGATTTTAATGTTAAGCTGTGTAGTTAAGGTGTATCGGAAAAATATTTAAAACAATATTTTTCTATTAGAAGTTTTTTATATAATTGACGGTTAATTTTGTTTTAATTGGACGTTTATTAAAAATATGTATGCACACTTTCAATTCTCCAATTAAAACTTGCAATTTTATTTAAATATTATCATAACTTTTTAAATCAGATTAAAGATTAGTTAATTTCCTAAAAAAAGGTCCATACATTTTTTATATCTTTTACTGTTTTGTTGTAATACACGTTTAAAGTTTTAATTTAAGGTTAAATGTATAGTATACATTTATTAAACAATAATTCTAAGGTTGCCACATTTTATTTAGGGCCGATTTATTCATTTTTGATTTATTTGACGAATAATTTCTTTGGATACTAGATATTGCCAAGACATGAAAGTTATCGGCCCGATAAACTTTACTAAAGATGAATAAACCGGTCCTTAGTTAAATTTCATGAATTTCTTCGTAACTTTTACTACAATTTTTCATTTTTGTTTATAAAAAACACTTTAAAAAACTAAAGAATACGTATACTGAAAATGACAATTCAAACGTCAATAAATTTTGAATAGATCTAAGTTTCCTGGCAACCTTTAAGGATATATTAATTAAGGGAACATAAATGTATACGTCAAAGGTTCGATTAAAAGTTTAAACGTTTATTGCAACAAAACAGTAAATTATATAAAAAAAAATTGGAAAAACCTTTTTTTTAGTTATGCAAATATTAAATATTTAAATTAAATCGCTAGTTTTAATTGGATAATTGAAAGAGTGCATAATATTTTGATAAACAGCCAATTAAAACAATTCAAACCGTCAATTTTTTTTATTTTGCTCTTAAAATTTTAGTTATGACCTAATTAACAAGATATATAAAAAAATTAGGTTTCACAGAAAGTCCAAAAATCACCTCTCAGAACAGCACCGTGCACTGGTTACACAATTGTGTTCTGTGAGTACATAGATACTAACCAACAAAGTAGCCAGTTGTAAAAAATTGTTACTAAAAATTTTTCTTTCAAAAAATAAATAAAAACTCGATAAATACAAAAGTTTTATGCCCTTAAAATTAATTTTCATCGGTTTTTTTCTTTCTGTTTACTCAGATGAAATTAAGACAAGTTCACAGGTTAAACATTCAATTTGAGTAAATAAATCCCTTAGTTAAGATATGTACAATTTAAGCACATAACCTGTAATTTGAATGAAATGCACTAGATTCTGTCATAAAAGTTGCCAGATTTTGTTTGAATTTACCTTGATTACAAAAATGACATAATAAACAATTAATAAAAACGCCAAATAAACAATTTGTCATATTTGTAATTAAGCTAAATTTAAACAAAATCTGGCAACTTTTTTTGACAGAATCTGAAAACGCTGGTTGTTGCCAACCACAACATAATAAATTAAATTAGGCAACCAGATTAGCCTAAAGTTCCTGGTCGATCAGTGGCGTACTTTTTGGTAGGATAAAGGTTATTATAAATTATTTTTAGTCTTCAGAATTTAGGAAAAGTCGACAAATTTAAATAAACTTTTAATCATTGTTAATTTTTTATAGTGTTTTTATTTCAAATTAATATAAATTTTTATTTTTAGTTTGTTCTTTTTTTGTATATCCTTATTTATTATTTGCTTAGAGTTTTGTTAATTTTATAACACACTTTTTTCATCTAAACGTATATTTGTCTACCCATACAAAAACTCCACGCTTCGCCACTGGTAACGACAAAAAAATAGCTAATTTAGTAACGATGATAGATTTAGTTTTTACCATAAACCACGATACACAAAAACCAACAATTAATTTCCCACCTTCCTTTTATATTTTATTTAATTGAATTAACTTAACTTACGCTACACCATATTTGAAATAGTTATTAAGTCCAACAAATAAAACACAAACTTAATAAATAACCTGGTATAAAACTTTGAAAAACACAATAATTTCGGAAAACACTCAAAAGCTATGCAAAACTGTTTTTTGCGTATCGTGGTTGCGTCGTTTTTACCATAAACGAATTTATTTCTTCGTTTCAGTTCTACAGTAAGACATAAAGGAATTTATTTTGGAAAAAAAATAATTCTTGTTTATTGCAAACCATAGAAAACCCGGTTATTACACTATTGCATATAGCCGATTTTTTGTGATTTATTGAGGTAATTTTTAAGGTACTTTCAGTATTTATGTTTTACACTTTCTTACCTAAACTGCCATAAAATTGCCTCCGATACAACTTATTCAAACAATTTTCCTTACATGTGCCTTTTCTTAATATTAAAGCACATTTTTTTTGTTGCCATCGTAAATCACAAAAATTTGGCCATTTAAAATGTATAATTTTTAGTTCTGTTTCAAGTGATATTACAAATCAATTTGTATTAATAAATATTAAAAATATAAGAAGATAATAATAATAAGAAATATGCAAAAGTCCATATTTTCTCTATGTAGTAATTTTTTGTTGCCATTGTTGCACACTGTCTTTTTTTTTACATACTTACTGTTGGGTGTTGCAATATAAAATTTTTGATGTGCAAGTTTCTTTGAACGAATTTTTATATAACGTTTTTTTTATTAAACTACATACATACAATAGAGATTATTATTTTTTAATTATAATTAAAGTATTTGTATTTTAGGTAAATTATTTCATGTTTATATTGCTTATTGTATGTTGTATATTTATAAGTCACAAATAAAGAAATTCAAAATTTAGGTATTAATTTATTTCTCTAAAAGTAAAGGGATGGTATATAGAACAATAAAAAAGCGATTTTTATATTAAATGAAATGTATTTAATTGTTTATATCATTGACTAAGCAAAGCTGTACATTAAAAAAATACTGTCTAAGACTATCAACTCCTTATCCATATTTACACATTCCTTCCAACATTTTTTTAAACATAAAAATATACTCTTAAACCTAATTATTGAATGTATTACTTTTGAGTAAACACTAGACTTTGTAAAAATCGTTTTTTTATACTTTTTGACAATCAAAGCGCGTGCCACACATATTTCAAATTTTTAGGCATTTTCAAGGGTATGGCATGTTCAACAAAACTAAGGTTAGAATTTTGACGCCAAGTGTCAAACTTCTAACCTATAAAACGTCTACGTCAGTCTCCCTTGACAGGACAAAACAACATCGCGAAATTTAGGAACTTTTTCTTTTCGAATTTTGACGCTTTGACGATTCTGAGCGAGAGAAAAGTGTTCACCGGTTGCAGCAAATAAAATACTAAGCTATTATTTTTTTTGATTTTACTTAAATATTTGCAAATACGTATTGAAAAAAAGGCCACTGTCTATAACTAAGTTCACATCGCTTAACAACATATAAACTCTCATTTTATACGCCCCTAAATCTATAATCTTTACACGGGGCGATTAGAAAGACCTCTCCAACCTGAAAATATCTATTCTATGATCAAACGACATGTTTGGTAACAATTTCTTGACATCAACATAACCTAAAATTGTTGACATTTGGTTAAAAGTGTTGTTCCAAAAATGCCGTTTTCAATTTACGATGTAACGGTCGAAGAGGTTATTTATTTTGCCCATGCACGCTTAGTTAGGTAATATGGTTTGTAAAAATTTTCCTTCCTCTAAACATACAACTAAATATAAAAAAATATATTTCAACATGTAAAATTCGATATTATTATGCAATGAACAAAAATTAAACAAACCACTATTTCTAGAACAGTATTTACAAAATGATATTAATACAATATGACTGCTATATGTATGTATTTTTTCGAAATACCCTGTTGTTAAGGTAGGTACAGGGAAAAGCGGGGAAACAACTTTTATATACAGTGTGTTCTATATTTGTTAGTTGTACTACAGGTAAGATAACTGAAACTTTTCTCCCAAGTTATACAAGAAATTTGCGACTTTCTATGGAAAACAATAAACCAATCAAACGTTGTGCTGAGTGGTTTATTGCTTTCTATAGAAATAATTTTCTATAGAAAGTAAATACGCAAATCTTAAAAAACATAATAGGTTTACATAATAATAATAATAATAATAGTGATAATATTAAATCGGATATAACATAGTAACTAATATTTAAAAGTAGATTTTTTAATACTCTATCAACTAAGAGATGAACATCTCCGATAATAATTTTCGATAAAAAACGTAATGACGCGACACGTCTAAACAATACATAATTTTTCAAAGGGGGGAGGAGGGAATCTCAATAAAACTAAAAAAATAATGACGATCAAACACAAAAGCGCCCTCTAACGTCTTACGTCGGCACTAAGCTACCAAAAGACGGCGTGGGTGTTGCGAACGCGCGGTGCTGAAATAACGGGGGAGCGGGGATCGGATTTTTAGGGAGGGGGGTGTCGCGTGGACTAGCACTTGTTGACGTCTGGCGGAGTGGGGAGGTACTCGTCCGCCCTCTGGTGTTCGTTTAGGGCTTTGACGGTGCTCGAGTCTTGCGGCAGCTCGGATTTGCGTCTCACCAGCGGTTTGGTGCTGTTACGCTGCTGCAGCTGTTGCTGCTGCTGCTGTTGCAGCTGTTGCTGTTGCAGCTGTTGCTGGGTTGGCGCGCCCTTTTGCTTTACCTTCAATAAAATACGATTTTTTTTACCAAAAATTTTAAAAATCACTTGAATAAGGGAATTATATGAAGAATGTTTGGTGTGGTTTTAGAGTTACACACAGTTTTCGGGAATGGAAGTACAAATATAACAAAATTTGTGATCATTCAATTTATATAAAATAAATATATACATGGTGTCCCAAACTGATTTAGCAAAGCTGATTTTTTCGTGATTTTGCACTTTTCAATGTAAAGGGTGTATCAATAAGACCGCAAGATTTCAAAGTTTAGTAAAACATGGTTTTAAGTATTAAAGCATTGAAATATTTATTGATTTATAAAGTACACATTTGGAAATTATGTATAAAATAACACATCTGGTAAATGGCCACCACGGCTTAACTGGCACAAGCGTATTCTTTTGGCAAAATTTGCAATACCATTATTGAATACATGTGGCGGTATTTCGTTGATAGAGCGTTTAATTTCTGCTTTTAAGGCTTCGATGGTGGCGGGCTTGTTGGCATAAACTTGTGACTTCAAATAACCCCACAGCCAAAAGTCCAAGGGTGTTAAATAGTGGTGAAAATGGGCCTCATCACTGAAAATGATTTTGTCCGCAAAATCGGCATTCACTTCTTGCTGCTCAAGGATCCAATTGGTGAATTCTCTTCGCTGTTCATGGTCTTTTGGCTGGAGTTGTTGAGTCAATTGGACTTTGTAGGCATGAATATGCAAATCTTAAGTAAAAATTTGCTGAAGAGTGGCTTTTGTAATGTCCAATTCTTGTGCACGATGGCAAATCGACGTCTCTGGACTCTCGGCCACACTCTCGCGAACTGCTGCGATATTTTGTTCTGAAAGAGCTCGTGTCGTGTGTTTCACATCACTAACAGAAGCAGTGCTTTCAAATTTTTCGATTATTTTTTTCACAGTAGATGAATTAGGAACATTATTTCGAAAAAATATTGGACGCCCTTTACGAATCGTGGCAATGAAACTTTCATCATTTTGATAATAGTGTTTAACAATCAGGACGGGTTGTTCTATTGTGTAATGCTCCATATTTACAAACTCCCATCTGTCTCCTATCAATCTGTCATGTCATTAATCATGTGACATCATGGTTGCCAAACTGAGGCGAAATTCAAATCTTGCGCTCTTATTGATACACCCTTTACAAAGAGAACGAGTCAATATTTTTTGACCAAATTTGGGGAAAAGTTGCTTCGGGGAAGTAATTCGTTTCCTATTGAAAATGGACCGAATCGGCAAAAAAAATTTCAAGCTACAAATTTTTTCAAAATAATTTTACTTATTTTTTTCGTGAAATTTTGCACTTTTCTATGAAATCGCTTACAGAGAGAACGAGTCAATATTTTTTGACCAAATTTGGAGAAAAGTTGCTTCGGGACAGTAATTTGTTTCCTATTGAAAATGGGCCGGATCCGCAAAAAATTGTTCGAGCTACGAATTTATAAAGATTTTTTTCGAAAATTTCAAATTAATTTTACTTAAAAACCAAAAAGAGATTGGGCAACAAAAAACCATGAATCGAAGGGTAAAAGTATCTAGTTTGACATAATAAAAAAATAATCTCCACCAAATTAAAACAGAATGACCGTCTGTCCATTTAATTTTTTTTTTAAACAAAAATAATTGCTTTATATTTATTTAACCAAACAAATTTGAAGAAAAATTTAAAAAACGGCTAATTACATAATAAATGCTAAATTTATAATAAAAATAAAATAAACTGTAAAATCGTGAAATTTTTTGTATTTTTTTAAGAAATTGTTAATTATCAGGTAAAAAACTGGGAACTAGAGCCTGAATAAATTAACTTGGAACACCCTGTATAAATATTTTCCCACTGGCCTAATTAAATTAATTTAAGACACCCTGTATAAGAATTTTCCCAAATGATCACAAAACAATGACCATTGTTCCCACATATCACCCAAACATAGTTTTACTAAACAAACTTATTATTAAGGTTTTTAAAAATGTTCTAATATAAATATATAAAATAAACTCATATTCACTATATTTTTTTTTAAACTGGGAATGTGGCAACAATGGACTGACCCTAACGACAGATGATACACACAACAGTTGGAATAATGAATGACATGGAATAAACGGAAAATTTAAAAAAGCGTAGCCTAGTGAAACAAACGGGGGGTGGTAACATGTATGTTTGAAAAATATCCACTGAAAAAATAAATAGACTTACTTTTCCTAAACAATAGCTCTATGAGATCAGGTAAATTCTTCTTTTCTTTTTTTTTGTGCGTTATTTTTTTTTACTATTTACGTACAAGCCAATTAATTTAGAGCCTATGAAGCAAAAGAGAAATAAAAATGAGAAAAAAGCAACGATTAACAAAAATAAAAATAGCTGTGCTATTAAAATGAGCAAGTGTGTTTTTTGCTTTTTTTTTAGACTTACACACAGTTAATAATTTAGCGCCAATTTAGACCTACTCTAAAAGGCAAATTGCTTTTTATTATGACGGTAAATTCTGAAACAGAAAAAAAGACGTGCTCCAACAATCTAAAGAGTTACTACATATTATTATTGAGAGCGACAAATTACGGCAAGCTCGTAAGTTTATTAGTCAATTAATAAAAAAATGGCAATCCTTGTGGAAACCATTAAACCTTGGACTACTAGTAAATAGTCTAAGGTTCTAGGTTTCTGAAAAGATTTGTATAGGGAAAGGTTAAAGTTGACGTACCTCGACGTTGTTCTCCTGTTCTAAATTGTCCAAGTTGACGTCATCATCCAAATCGGGACTGGTTATCACATTGTTGATGTCCGGATTCCTGGACTTAATTGTTTCGTATTCGGGCCTTCTGGCCGCCAAATTTTCCACCCTCACCCACAACTCTTGCCTTTGATGCTGCCTTTCCCTTTCGCTAAAAAAAATAAAACAAATAGAAGAGTCCTATATTTTTTGAATGTCCACTTACAGCTGGCGCTCGTGTCGAAACTGCTGCGTGCACTCGTCGAACAGCTTCTGGTTCATCTCCATGAACAGCTTGAGGGCGTTGTAGATGAGCCCGTGTATCGTTTTGTTCCAGTGGCTCTTCGAGTTCTTGTACAGGCTGGGAAACATGATGGGCAAAATTTGCGCGGCGTTCTCGCTTACAAGCGACATCACGTACTCGTTGTTCCAGTAGTAGAGGGCGCGCTCGGCCACCTGAAAGTGCGGCGAGCTGACGCACTTGGCCAGCTGACGGAAGAGCGGTACCATAACCTGGAGAAATGATTTGAAATTTGCGATTTTTTGCGTTTCCAGAAAATCAATTATAAAGAGAACGATTGGATATTTTTTTAACAAATTTGCGGAAAAGTTGCTTCTCGAGAGTTATTCGATGCCTATTGAAAATGGGCCGAATCCGTTAAAAAATTTACTAGTTGCAATTTTTTTTAAATTTTTGTTAAAAATCTTAATTTTTTTACTCCCAAACGAAAAAGAAATTGGGCACATAAAAAACATCAATCGAAGGGTAAAAGAATGTTGTTTAGCATGCCATAAGATAATCATCATCAAATTAAAACAAAATGGCCGCCAGTCAAGTTATTTATTTCGTGAAATTTTGCACGTTTCCAGGAAATCGCTTACAAAGAAAACGAGTGGATATTTTTTTACCAAATTTGGGGAAAAGTTGCTTCTCGAGAGTTATTTGTTCCCTATTAAAAATGGGCCGAATCCGTTAAAAAATTAGCTAGTTACAATTTTTTTAAATTTTTATCAAAAATCTTATTTTTTTTAATACCAAACGAAAAATAATTTGGGCACATAAAAAACATGGATCGAAGGGTAAAATAATGTCGTTGAGCAAACCATAAGATAATCATCATAAAATTAAAACAAAATGGCCGCCAGTCAAGATATTTCTTTCGTCAAATTTTGCACGTTTCCAGGAAATCGCTTACAAATAAAACGAGTGTATATTTTTTTACCAAATTTGGGGAAAAGTTGCTTCTCGGGAGTTATTCGTTCCCTATTGAAAATGGTCCAAATCCGTTAAAAAATTTACTAGTTGCAATTTTTTTTAAATTTTCCTCAAAAATCATAATTTTTTTACTTCTAAACAAAAAAGAAATTGAACACATAAAAAACATGGATCGAAGGGTAAAAGAACCATAAGATAATCATCAACAAATTAAAACAAAATGGCCGCCACTCAAGATATTTCTTTCGTGAAATTCTGAACGTTCCCAGAAAATCGCTTACATTGAAAACGAGTGGATATTTGTCTACCAAATTTGGGGAAAAGTTGCTTCTAGAGAGTAATTCGTTCCCTATTGAAAATGGGCGAAATCGGTTAAAAACTTTTTTAAATCCTTTAAATCAGTTCTTGAGATGCTTTGTAAATCAGTAACTTTAAGATTCCTTTAATTTTGAAATTCAATGCTTGTAGACTTACTTTTTGAAATTCCGCCGGTTCGATGACGTCCAAAATTTCCTCCAACTCGTTCAAAAACATAACCTCTTTGGGGCTATGCGTTTTAGGCCAGTACTTTAAAAGATTCTTTATCACGTCCTGCGTTAAAGAGGGATCCTTCTCCAAGAACTGTACCACACAGTAGGCCAGCTGGGGGTGATATACTGACAAAGATTTAACCTTAAAAACAAAAAATATTAAGTTATATAATATAACGTATTACAATGTATGTTTGCTTACCTTATGTAGAGGCATTAATACCCTGAGCAAAAACGTTTTGTGTTCCTCCTTCAAAGGCAACGCAAAACCATTAATAATAGAACCTAAAATTTCTAATAACTCCGCAATTCCGTTATGGTGCTCGGTTTCGTAGATAAAACGGTAAAAAACGTTGTTTATTTGCTTCCTTATGAAGGCTCTCAGCCCCAAAAATTTACCGTAAATCCTGAAAAAAAAGATTTATATATTGTATGATCTCAATGTAAAGTTGGGACTCTCACCTGTGTAGGGTGGTTTTGAGCAGATCTCTCTCGCGGGGGTCCTCGGAATCGAACAGATCCAACAGCTGAAGAACGAACTTTTGGTCGATGTACTTTTTGGCGATGTTGGGCTGGAAGTCGGGCGCCTCGAGCACGCGCAAAAACAGCTCGTAGACGAGCTGCAGGTGCGGCCAGGCCGCCTCCAGCGTCGGCTCGTCCTCTTCCGGGTCGAACTCGGCGCCGTTCGGGTTCGACGACGGAGGCAGAGTGCGAAACAGATTCACGGCAAACTGGAAAATGAGGAGAAAATTGACACATTTTTTCAATTTAAAAAAATTGCCTGATGCCTGTGTCACAATAGTGTTGATGTTAATGATAATGTTAATGGTAATGTTAATGTTAATATCCAAAGCATAGAAAAATGCGTGTATCCGTTCACTATGATGGTAGTACCATCATTGTGAACGGATGCAAGTATTTTTCTATGCTTTGGATATTAACATTAACATTACCATTAACATTAACATTAACATCAACACTATTGTGACACAGGCATAATGCTTCTAATACAATTTTGTAAAAATTTGTAAACGTTTTAATCAATTTTAGAGGGTCAAACTATAAAAAAACTGTTTTTGCGCCCTCTATCTTTTTATAGACTAAATACAGAAAGTTTTGCCTGTAAACAAACATGTCAAAAATTTCAAGCTCTTTATCGAAAAGGAAATCGAGCAAATAAAAAACATGAATCGAAGGGTAATATAATGTTGTTTAGCATACTAATAATCATCAAATTAAACCAAAATGGCCGCCAGTTAAGTTATTTGTTTCGTCAAATTTTGCTCGTTTCCAGAAAATCGCATACAAAGCAAACGAGTAAATATTTTTTTACCAAATTTGGGGAAAAGTTGCTTCTCGAAAGTTATTCGTTCCCTATTAAAAATGGGCCGAATCCGTTAAAAAATTTACTAGTTAAAATTTTTTTAAATTTTTGTCAAAAATAATATTTTTTTAACTCCTAAACAAAAAAGAAATTGTACACATAAAAACATGAATCGAAGGGTAAAAGAATGTTGTTTAGCATACCATAAGCTAATCATCATCAAATTAAACCAAAATGCCCGCCAGTCAAGTTATTTATTTGTCAAATTTTGCACGTTTCCAGGAAATCGCTTACAAAGAATACGTGTGGATATTTTTTTACCATATTTGGGGAAAAGTTGCTTCTCGAGGGTTATTCGTTCCCTATTGAAAATGGGCAGAATCCATTAAAAAATTTACTACACTGAAAAAAATTATTACATTTAAATGTAAAAGTTACAAGATTATTACCATATAAATTCCTAATTTTTACGACAAATTGTAAAATTACCTTTATTTTCGTCTATTTTTTATATATTTCAAGTAAATAAACATTTTTGTTTGTGAAATTACTAATGTTATGTATTAATTATTGATACAACAAGTAAATTTAACGAACTTAATTTAAAAAATACAATTATAACGTCTAACTGCATTATTTCAAATGTAAATATACTTAATATTACAGGTTTAAATGTTTTTTTTACATTCGGAGTGTAGTAAAAATCGCAAAATTACATTTCATATGTAACCGGAGAAGAAGCCTATTGGCTGGGAATTCGCACATGCCTGCCCACGCATCGGCATGTTAATGTTATCATGTATAAATACATTTCAAATAAAAAACATATTACATTAAAAATGTTATTTTACATAAAAAACATAAATGAGTTACACGTCAATTATGCTATTACATTTTACATGTAAAATAATAATGAAATGGAAAATTTCAGTTATCAACAAGGCATCAAAATAACCAATCTCCATTACCGGAAATTTACATGATATTTTTTTCAGTGTAGTTATAATTTTTATCAAAAAAAATTTTTTTTTACTCTTAAACGAAAAAGAAATTGGGCACATAAAAACATGAATCGAAGGGTAAAAGAATGTTGTTTAGCATACTAAAAGATAATCATCACCAAATTAAATGGCCGCCAGTCAGGTTATTTATTTTGTCAAATTTTGCACGTTTCCAGGAAATCACTTACAAAGAAAACGAGTGGATATTTTTTTACCAAATATTAAAAATGGGCCGAATCCGTTAAAAAATTAGCTAGTTAAATTTTTTTTAAATTTTTATAAAAAATCCTAAACGAAAAAGAAATGGGACACATAAAAAACATGAATCGAAGAGTAAATGAATGCTGTTTGGCATACCATAAGATAATTATCATCAAATTTGCCTGAAAACAATCATGTCAAAAATTTCAAGCTCTGAATCTTTTGTTCCAAAACTTTCTTCATCCGACCTATAGGAAACGAGATAAAACGATTAATTTTTTGTTTCAAAAAAGGGGGAAGCATCGGAGGGGGGAACTCAGTGTTGCGTTAGGCAGTTCTAAGAGAATTTAAAGACACAATTTAAAAAAAATCCTATTTATTTTTTAATGGACCTGTATATTAGCGCTTTATATATTTATAATCATAGTCTCGGTCAATTCATTCACAACAAATTTAATCGGGACCAAAAGCCGCCCACAAACCGCCGCCTTATTATTCGTGTTTTGTTATCGCATCAATTGAAATTCAATGTTATGAAAATTAATCATTACCTAATATTTATGCAAATGTATTTTTTACATTATTAATAAATATTTATACAGGAAGGATAATTGAACGCTTAATGTAATATTTATGGTTTTTTACGTTAATTTTTTTATCATGCTGGTCAATTCATTTAAATGTATACTTTGTGTGTTAAATTATCAATTTTTACCTTAGACTACAATCCACATATGGCTTGTGGTTTATTTTTTACAAGAGTAAGGTCAAAGCAGAAGAATTGTAAAGAACATAAAAATGGCCGCCGTTAAAGCCTGCGCAGTGATTTTTAGTGTGGACATCTACTTACCATTGTGACAGCCTCCGGGTAGATTATTTCCGTTATGACGCCTTTCTGGTGGGTCACCAGCTCGACCATTTCCTGCAAAGCTTGTCGCTTCACCTCTTTCCATTTTAAATCGCTCAGAGGGTCCGACGCAAAATCGAACAGAACGCAGCACTGCCTGAGTTTTTGCACCACGAGTTCTTCTCTGTCCTGTGGGGCTGCATCTGAAAATAAAACGTCAAAAATTAGTTTAAAATTACAAATTGTCGTTAAAACTAATCATAATATATTATATCAAAATACATTTCTAATAGGAAATATAAATGTAAACTGGGTTGCATATCAAATTCCAAAGGGCGTAAATATTTTACACCTGGCAACGTTCTTGTCAAAAAATGTGCTAAAACGTACTATATAGTGCTTGACCGCGAAAGCAGAGATTTTTACATTTTAATTATAATTTTCCATTAAAATGGCGTTTAAAAATTTAAAAAATAATTGTCAAAACCAAAAATCGTTAAAAAAATACTTATAGAAATATATATACACATAGAAGTATATATAGTATGGTGCAACCTGTATATAGCCATGTCACTGACTTTATTTAATAATTTACATAAATATTTATATCAATAATTTTACATAAATAATCTTACGTGTTTTTTTCTGTTAAATTGTTAAATAAATAAATAAAACATGATAAATATTGTTATCAGTAATGTAAAATTACCAGAAATCAAAATAAAAAGAGTATTGAATAAGTACATTTGTGTCATCTTTTTAGATCAGAATAGAAAAAATGTATTATTTAATAGTGTTGGTTCAAAATGGCAAAAACTTTTCCCCAGTTTTTGGAAATATTTATAAAAAAACATTTAAAGGATCGGACAGCATTTTAAGTAAAATCGTGAAAAAAAATTACTTATAAGTATTTTTCACCTAAAGGAAAATTTAACGGTAATATTAACGTCAGAATTTTTTATTAATGGTAAATGTTACTCATAATTCATGATTTTACGATATTAAGACCACTTTATAACCGTAAATAATTCCTATTCGCCTGGTATTTTTTAGGGTTATTAGTGGTAATAAATACTATTGATATTGACTCAACAAGGAAAAATAAGCTTAAAGTGAAAAATAAAACTTTAAGGGATATTTTTTTCAGGTCTTACTTGACATTTATATAATATTTTTTCAAAAATGTTTTTCTAAAATATTATAAGGAAAGTTTTAGTTATTAAAAAATTATTAAAACTAAATGATTTTTAAAAGATTTTATAAAATTTTGTACCATTGTGTAAAATATAAATTAAAAGAACAAAGAAATTACGAATGTCAATGTTTTAGAAAGAGAGAGCAAATAGTTAGTAAGTATTGCGTTATTTTTACGTAAATTTGTGGTATTTATATTTTTTTATTACGTTATTCTCTTAGTAGATCAAAAAGGTTATTATGTAGGTAACGAAATAAACCATTCCCCAAATTAGGTAATTTATCATATCTATACCGTTATAAAACCGTTTTGGTTAACTGTAAAAAATACTTTAAAGTTTACTTGGTAGTAAATTTGTAGTTATTTAAACTTAAAATGCTGCTTGGGTTATCTATCTACAACTATCCAATGAATTAAAAACGGTTGAGCAAGGTTATGGAAACTTATTTACCAAACAATGAAAAAACTAATAGATACTGACAATTTTGTTTTCGATGTGTGTTTAGATAGATACGCTTTATACATATATTATGTACATATAGCAATTTTATTGTTGTAGGAGTTAATGTTGTTTGATATTTGTTTTAGGTCTTTTTTAATTAAAACATAAACATAATACGTTTTAGCACACTATATTTTGACGTCAAAATATAAACATTACTATTGAAATTCGTGAACCAAAAAAAATCAGCTGATCAGATATAACCATCGTCCGCATGTTTTTTGATACGAGTTGGCAACGTTTCAAGAATTTTTCTAAACGCTTTTTAATTTATTAGCAGATGAGACACGACTGAAAGAAATGCGCACGGGTAAACTAAAATTGTAATTAAATTTTGCACATAAATGTATAAACTTTAAACTATATAATGAGACGGCCAAGGAATTTTCTTGTTTTTAACTTGGATGCATAAGGTTTTTGGAATTCGGCTTAATCATAATATCCGTCTATTTTTATTTTTACTTTAACGTTTAAATTTTAAAGTTAAAACATTTATTAGTATACAGGGTGTCTCAAAAGTCAAGGACAGCAGAACAGGGGGTACAAATAGACCTACCTTTTCTTTTTGTTATTTTTTGATATACTTTACTTATCCTTTTTTAAATAAGTTAAAATAATTATTTTATTAATATTAATAATAATTAATTTTAACATTATTATTTAATTAGAGATATTTGAGTGAAAATGTAAAAATCACAATCCACACAACAAACCCTGTTTTATCTTGTTTCGCGCATACTAAAAATGACTGCAACACTGCACAGAATCTAACGGCGGCGATTTTTATGTTTAAACAGATTAAAAATCGTTTTAAAAGTTGTGTTTCTTACAGAGGCCTTTAAGTGCTAACAACAACCATTTTAAACCTTATTCTATCAGGGCTGTCGTCAAACTATCAAATTTAAATTTGTGGGTTATGATAAATTAACCTTAAAATTGAAATTTGACAGTTGAAAATTCATTTTTACCAAAAGAGGAGTAAAACGGTTGTTTTTAGTACTTTTAGGCTTATAAGCGCCTCTGTAGGAAACACAACGTTTAAAACGATTATTAATCTGTATTAGGGCCACCAATTTTCCCTAAAAAAAGAATTTCCCAAGTTAAAACTAACCTAAAACACTGACAGTGACAATGTCAACCATAAAATTAAGGTCATTTTACACTACGATTTTATATAGAATTTCTAATATTAAGCTGCACATTATAGTTATCCCACCTCTAATCATTCTGCTAAAACACGCCTGTGATTGGCTACTTTATTTTGTTAATAACTAATTAATGGTGTGTCTGATTTAAAAACGACAAAGACTATTCGACTTAAAATGTAAATTTTAGCCAAGAACTCTCTACAGACTTTGTGATTTTAGGCTTATCTATAAAAAAATACATATTCAAATTGAGATTCTACTTATATAAAAAAATGGTATGTTGCTAATAAAATAAATTACAACCAGTGACGTATGTGCAGGGTTATCTTTAATGTCGATTCGGTTTATAATTTATAAATTATAAATCATATAAATTAATAACTTTCTGTTATATGGTGGTTAGATTATTTTTGACTTTGGAAGTGGGGGGGTCAATAGTGCAGTTTTATTTATTTTGTTTTTTAGATTTTGTTGTATACTTCACAGATTTTAAGAGAGTACTCATAAAGTAAAAATATCAAAAAATGTATATATTGTGTCCCTATGGCACGCCGTTTCACGTTTTAATCGGATAAGAAATATTAAGTTAAATATTAATATTTCTAGTTTTGTGAATTATATACATAGAAATAATTATATACAGTTCATTTTTTTTTCTGGACGCGGCAACGTTGCAAATTTAGGGTTTTAGTTGGTAAATACAGTTGTCAAGTTGGTCGCATTGATTAAAACAAAATAAGCTAGTTATAAATCTAATTGTGGCTAAGAATTGTGGTTATTTATAAATAATTGTAGGTTACATTGTGCAGTTGTCAAGTTGAGTTGTCGAAATTCGTAGTTAAAAATGCAATTAATTTGGCTTTGGTGGTGCTTGGATGAGTAAAATCATATAAAAAAGTAGTTAAATATACGTTGCTTTACGGCCCATAAGAGAAAGAATTCCTAGCGGATAATAATCTTCGCTTTGAAAAGAATTTATATAAAAGAAATTAAAATTTTTTGTGAAGGTAAATGTTGTCCAATAGTGAATTATTGTGTGATGTAATATTTATAAAACCAAATTCGTTACTTTTTTACTCCAAAAATGTCCATAAGGCGATGTACTTTTTCTTCCATTGTGGCATTTGGCATAATTTCATCAAAATGAAGTTTTGCCCCCAAAAGGGCTTTTACATTGGAATTCGTTGCTATTATTTTTGCCATAATTATCTTTTTATTTATAATTGACAAGTAAATTATCAATAGTAAATATTATTGTTAATTTGACAGAGTCAAAGTACTATTCTTTAGCAGAAGTACCATTTTTAAAAAACTGGCATAAGCCACCAACCTAACAAAAAAACACGAGTCCAGATAAAAAAATCTCGCATATTGGCGACAAAATTGACGTAGATAAATTACGCATAAATACCTACTATGCATTTGAACTACTGCAGTTGCCACTTCCTGCCGTATTCCCAAAGCGCCAAATTAATTTTATGTGTAGACATAAAATTAATTGCAAAATAAAAATGATTGTCGAGTTAAAAATAAGAAGTTGCAGTTTAAAAAATAATAGAATAAAATAAATAGTTCAAAAATCTTGTTTAATTAAATGACGCAAATATTAATTCAACTAACAAAACATTGTACATCCAGCAACATTGGTCAAATTCTGAAAGTTCCTATCAGCGTTGGCGAGTTTTTTTGACAGTTTGTGTTAAAATTCATAACTTTGTAATTATAACGTGAATAAAGATTGAAATAGCAAAAAAATATGAGTAATAATTTACCCTCGAGCTTGGGTACGTGTCCGAAACTCTGCATCGTTGCCACGGCCGCACTATTTTTGCCGAAAGAAGCAAAAAGAATCCCACCGTTTCCGTAAAACTTATTGTTAGTGTCTCTGGTTTGCTCGGGCGGCGAAGCGGTCAACTCTTGCCGCGCTTGGCCCTCTTGATCATCGTCGTCGTCGTTGACGAAAGGGTTCGTGTTGACCTTGTGCACCTGGGGGCCCATGGTGGCGAAGGCGGGGGACCCTGACCCCTCCATGCCGCTGTAGACGGGGTTGTCTTTAAAATCCGTCGAGGCCAAGGAATCGAACGAGGCCGAGGCGACTAGATCCAAGCCGCTGTGGAAGGACGGCGATTTCGGAAAACCGGAAGTCGGATCGCGGTGTTGCAACGTCGAATGCACCATTATTAGTTAATGGCATTTATGGGGCACTTTTTCCAACGACTTCGACGAAGCTAGAACGCGTGCGACGGCATTACTCGCGATATGGATTAATTCGGCCATAGATTTTAGGAGTCTTCGCGGTCGCGCATGCGTCACCTGTTACCCTTATAAGGACGACGTTCGTTTGTTTGCCGGCGCCGCGACGCCGTGACCTCGTAAGAGAGAGACACAAATTTACAATTTTACGGATTTCCCTTCCAAATGTTTTTCACCCAGATTTCTCCAGTTCTTTCTTTGCTTTTATTCAAAGAAATTCTCTATGATTCATTTTGTTTCTTAGAATTAACTACTAAACTTTACCTTATTTCTACATCTAAATGCAATACTTTTTTTCATTGAGAACTTTGTTTTTATTTTTTTCTTGACTGTTAAAAATCAAGAAATATCATTTTTTTTAAATAACTTTTTTATTTCAAAACGTACCGATTTGAAATTTGGAAAAATTGTAGATCTTACTATTGACAATTGAGGAGCATCCGTGCAAAACCGGCTATATCCACTTTAACAAAATGTTGGGAAAATGGCAAAAACTCTCGGTTTCCTGGCCTTTGCAGATAAAAGAAAAAGCAAACTTGAGTTTTGTGGGCTTTATGGTACTTGATTTATAAGACATACTTTCATTTTCAAAAACTTTATATTGAGGCCAAAATTTTAAAAAATGTTTTGTATATAGCCGGTTTTGCTCGAAAACCGAATAAAAACGATTAAAATGTGAAAAAAACCTTTATTATTCAAAAATATTAACAAAATAAATTTAGTGCAAACATGAAAAAACAGAACAAATTTTAGTAGTAGTATCGACTTATCCAAGCCACATATTATTATTTACTGGATATAGCCGGGTTTGCTATTAAAACGTGGATTTGGCCGGTTTTGCTCCTAAAGCTACCGTTTAAATGTGATTTTAACATGGACATAGTCGGATTTAAACAGAATTATCTTGGTTGTCGATAGAAATGAACCCAAAGATGCGAAATCAAAAAAAAAAACAAAAACTACATAAAATGGATTTAGCCGGTTTTGCACGGATGCTCCTCAATTAATCCATGAAAAATGTTGTTTAGATTTTAACGTTCGGGGGGCGCTGGTGATAATTAAGTTTAAAATTTAACAATTTTTAAAGGGTAAATAATCGAAGAAGCAACTTTGTTTTATAAATTTTAGTATAACGTGTACACGTTAAAGTATTGATATTTGACTATTATTTAATACATTAACTTTTTATACAAATGATAATTCTGAACTATAACTTAAATTCGGGCACGGACTCCACTGTAAAGTCCTCATAAAACATTTTCTTTACTTTCACTGTGAAAAACTGTCAATTTTCAAGAAATACATTTCGATTTATAACCTTTATAATCTGTGTTTATAAAGTATAAACATTTGACATTTGACGGTGACACACAGATTCCCCTATTGTTTCATAGATGGCGCTCTATAAAAATGTTTGATTTAAATCATTTTAAGATAATATTTGTCGTTAAAAAAGTATAGTATGCACCTCGTTTATAAACTTTTCTATGCACTCATTAATTTAAGAACTCGCTTGCAAGCTCGCTCGTGCCTAAATTGCGTTAAAATATACAGGGTTTTAGATTTATAATAAAAAAGATATTATTGTTTGAAGTTTGCCAAATTTCAAGTGGTTTTTCTCAAGGTATTTGTTGAAATCCTTTAAAAAATTAAATTATTTAAATATTCCAAAAATTCCATCACCGTGTCAGCAAACATAATAACAAAAAAATTAGAGGCTATTGAAAACTATTGACTTTAGGTAAAGTCTAAATTTTATTGTATTGGCTATTAAAATTTTAAATCCATATCGTTTGCGTTTCTCCAGAAACACCCTGTATAGCATTATATTAAATATAAAAAAATGCAAAATAACTAATTACAAAAAATCGAAAAACAACTGAATAAAAAATATAGCTATATCTAAATAGCCGATTTTCGACAAAAACTTTCAGAAAATTCATCTGTCAACCATGTTACTGCATATGCCTTGTTTATTTTGTTTCCAAGGTCAGCACAATTCCGCGCGCGATATCTTGCAAATGTAATTCTATTTTTATTTTGTTGCCTACATGTTTACTATCCGTATTTTTAGATCGACATATCGATTATTCTATTTCGACGGTAAACAAAAGCCGCTCACTCCCAAGCACGTGCTACTAGATCCTCTTAACACGCTTAGAAACCGAATCCGCATACCCAGGTAACGCGATATCGCTGCTATGGCGCCACTCGAACATGGATTTTATCTTAAATCTCTTGGCGGAAAGAAGCTCGACAAAATCTAGAGCGTCATCTACACACGACTTACTACTTCTTCGGGTCTAGGTCAAAGTAAACAACAAATCAAGAGTGCCTGGAAGTTTATGCGGTTCCATATTTCCATTAAAATTGTAGAGGTCAAAACAAACAAATAAAAAGTAAACAATACCTCTTAATCCAGAACTGCCATAGCTGTCATATTCGCTGATATTTAACAGCATTTTTATCACAATCACAATAGAATAAATAAATAAATAAAATCACAAAATTTTTTTGAATGCAAACACAGTAGTTCGCGTTAACAGCGCTAAAAGTAAAATGTTTTGAAAGTAATTAAAAAGCCAATCAGTATCTCTCCATGAGTCTTATCTCAATGTTAACCGATTAAGTACACTAACTAACTAATTATAGCGAAATATTTTTACGTTTTCAATATACTTTATATTACGCTAATAAATTATTAATTACACCATTAAAGGTTAAATTGTTATTTTGATGTTGGCAATTTCCCAGAACAATATTTTGTAATATCACCATCTGCATGTGTTACATAAACAATTTTTTAAGGTTTTTAACCTCTCAACTCAACCAGTCATATCAGTTAAAAGACCAACATTCAATTTTTTCATCATTAATTAATGAATATCTCGAAATTCGTCATTTTATTCCTGTATGGGAAAAATCCATCAGCAGTGGGATATTAGACTGGGCCAAAAATATCGACTATTTTTTTTGTAAAGTATATCGAAAATATTGTTTGGGGTGACAAAAAAAAATTATGGTGAAAGTTCATAATATTAAGAGGTCTCCCAAATCATCGAGTTTAACAAAATTGACTTTTTTGAAGAAAATTGAATGCTCTACAAAAAAGGTTTTATTGGAATTTCCCGTCACATGAACCGTTTTCTTACAATCATGCCTTAAAAATTGGTATAGTTTTTCAATTTGATCTTTTAACTTAGGAATTTTGTAGTTCATGTAAAAATCAGTACCCTGAAAAAAAAATCGATAAATATTCATATGGGAAATCAAATGCTCTACAAAAAAATCATTTTTGGCTAAAGTCACTCCATCAAAAGTTATTCAAGGTTAAATTTGAAGTCAAAACGAAATTTTAACCTTGAATAACTTTTGATTGAGTGAATTTAGCCAAAAATGTTGAGAGGCTTTTTTTGTAAAGCATTTGATTTCCCATAAGAATATTTATCGGTTTTTTATGGGTACTGATTTTTACATGAATTACAAAATTCCAATTTAAAAGATCAAAATGTAAAACTATACCAATTTTTAAGGCATGATTTTAAGGAAACGGTTCATCTGGCGGAAAATTTTACTTTAACCTTTTTTGTAGAGCATTTAATTTTCTTAAAAAAATATTTTCGAGTCATTTTTGTTTGGGAGTTCTGAGACAAAAACTTGCTGAGGAAAAAAAAATTAAAATTGCGATGATAGACCTCTTAATATTAATATTATGGACTCAAACTTTCACAATAATTTTTTTTGTCACCCCAAACCATATTTTCGATATACTATAAAAAAATAGTTGATTTTTTTGGCCCTGTCTAGTGGGACAAACTTTATATCCCACTTCTGATGTAAATGGATTTTTCCCTGTATAAAAACTTTTTTGGTACAAATTTAATCTAAATAATTTTATTATATATTTGTTTAAGATAATCTTAATAAGATTTACAAAATTGTGTCTAAATAAATTATTTTTATTAAAAAATGATGGTTGGAAATTTTCAAAAAATTGATTGGAAATAATATTGTTTAATACAGAAGTGAACTGTCTTTCAATACATGAAAATATTTTAAATTTATAAATGTAAACCTAAAATTTTAATTGGGTAAATTTAAAACCAATAAAATTTAAAATTAAAAAATGATTTAATAAATGTTAAATAATTTAGCTATAAAATAGAAAAACGGTCAAAATCTATTTTTAATAATCCCAATTCAACCGAAAAACCTTCACCTCTTTATTTATTTAGATCTCGAATTTAAATAAGCAAAAACAGTGCAGATCAAAAATTTCAACTTGGTTAAATATAAAATTTCCCTAAAGGGCGTAAATATGTTCCATCTGGCAACATCGCTCAAAAAATATGGTTCCTTATTACAGCCTAATTTTTACCTTTTAATGACGGTAGCATCTCCAGTTCCCTGTTCTTGGTTATGTTGAACCTGGAGCTAGAATGGCGCTTGTCCTTTTTGAGCAAGGGCCCTTGAACCGTCCCTGTGGACAGCTTGATCTTGTGCAGCGGCGTAGGCGGCGGCGCACCGCCGACCGAGTTTTGTTTCGGCTGAAAAAAAAATCATTTAAGTAATACACTTGAAGAATTCAAACGTGCATTTTGTAAACAAATAACTGTAATAATGCAATACGTAATTGTTTTATTTATAAACCTATGCGAACGTTTGCGCGATACTAAAATAACCGCGAACCTTGTGCTATGAAAAAAAAATTGCTAAACGCTACTCGCATGGTTTCTATCACGTAAAAATCTACTTTATATTTATTTATTTTATTTTTTATTTATACATTCTTTTGTAATTTTGTTTTATTTTTTTAGGACAAAAACGACAAAAAACTGTGCCCCTCGTTAATTAGCGCCTTAGTGCACCCCCATGCGTGGCACCATGTGGTAATACTCTTAAATTAAACATTTCAAGGTTACAAAATAAAAACAAGTTTAAACAACATTTGTTAAAAAATTAATAAACAAAGATTTTAATTTATAAATTAATTTTTTTATCTGAAATCAATAAAAGTCAACTTTGGGAATAAATACGAACGTATATTAAACCTGGCAGAATCTGGATAAAACAAAAATAGCCTCAAAAAACAAACAACAAAATTAAATTTAGTAAAAATATTAATTCTATTAATTACCCCTTCTGTTACACTCCGTTTTCTTCTTCTAAAAATTCCACTTAGCGCCATAATGCACAGGTAAGGTCTCTTTCACACTATAGACGCATTTTAATTTAAAAAAATATTTTTTTTTCACACCTCGCCGATATACGGCTTTATTTTGCAACACACTGAACTGTCGTTTGGTGTCACACACACAAATACTATCTTACTGTGTAAATATAAACGAAATAATAGCGTTCGATGCAGGGCCGGGTCCACCAGATTTTCCAATAACAAGATAAACAAAAATTATTGATTGCCACAATTATTATTTTTTATAGAAACTTCAGTTTATTGTTATTTTTTTATTTAATAATTGGATGCTGATGATTTGATGCTGGTTCAATCCTTGAATGGGGTTAAGAAATGCAATTTTTTTATTGTGTTTTTTTCTACGTTTATACAGGGTGCTAAAGAAAGGTTGTCGAAACAATTACCAGGTGGCACAATCCACACAACAAGGTCTGTTCTATCTCGTACTAAAAATACAAAAAATCACTGCAACACTGCACAGTTTAATGGCGGCCATTTTTGTTGTTTACAATTTTTGTGCTTTGGGTTTGTCGTCTGTTTATACAGATTAATAATCGTTAAACGTTGTGTTTCTCATAGTAAGCCTTAAAAGAGTCCTTAAAGTGCTAAGAAAAACCATTTTACTCCTCTATTGTAAAAAATAAACTTTATTCTATCAGGGCTGTCATAAAACTGTCAAATGTCAATTTTAAGGTTAAATTATAATCCACAAATTAACCTTCAAATTGTCATTTGACAGCCCTGATAGAATAAGGTATATTTATTATAAAAGAGGAGTAAAATGGTTGTCCTTAGCACTTAAAGGTAGGGATGCACCGGAATTCCGGCGGTACCACTAAATCCGGCCGATCCGGCCAGTTGGCCGGAACTACCGTTCCGGCCGGATCGCTCCGGCCGGATCGCTTTCCAGATATATTTTGTAATTGGTCAACAGTAAAGGGTGTGCGTGTTTCCTTGCCTATGATAGACCGGCGGCTGTGGTTCCCCGACTTATTTTTAATTTTTTTATTATTGGCAGGTGGCTGCTATTCTCCAATTGAATGAGTATAATTGTTTTAATTTTGTTAACGCTAATTAAAAATTAATATTTAAATAAACACTAATTTCTATCTAGGTAAAATTAATAGTAATAAATACTCTGCATACTGTAGCTAGTTTAAAAAAAGTACAAATAAATCAGCCTCAAGGTTTTCAATGTTTTACGTATAAAAACAGGCATGCACATACATTTTAAATTTAGGCAAAATACCTGATCCGGTGCATCCCTACTTAAAGGCCTTATTTGAGGCTTACAAGTGCCTCTGTAAGGAACCCAACGTTTAAAACAATTATTAAACAGCACAAACCCAAAGCACAAGAATTGTAAAGAATAAAAATGGCCGCCGTTAAACTCTGTGCAGTGTTGCAGTGATTTGTAGTATTTTTAGCATGAGATAGAACAGACCTTGTTGTGTGGATTGTGCCAGGTGGTAGAAATTGACAATTTTCCAGAAAAACAATTGAACGTCGGGTTTTCAAAATATTTACAAAAATTTAAAAAAATTAATGAAACTCTATTTTTACAAATTTTGACAATTTAATTTGGAACAAAACTAACTACCCTATCTAAATAAACAATTAATAAGCACTTGAACTTTCTGTATAACAGATGTGTCAAGAATTAGGAGTAAAGTATATGCAAAAAATAAAATACCGAATTAACCACAACTTTTTTCCTTAAAATCCTCCTAGGATTCAGTATTGGCATACAATAAGGAAACACCCTGTATTTTTTTATAAGTTGCTCTAAAAATAAAACTTAATTTCAAAACCTTGTGATCTTCTTTAAAAACTAATTATTAACAATCCTCCCAAATAAAAAATTTGTTGTTTTTACGAAAAACACTAATTTCGTTATTTTTCTACATTTTTCAATGTCATTGGCCCGGTGATATTAAAATTAATGGTAATTGATTATTTAATGAGATTAACTGGACACAGACGTCCTCTCCCCTCTTGCGTTTACGGGTCATTCCAAATGTCGAAATTTGTTGTATTAATATATAAACAAAAAAGTGAAATCCATTAATTTAACTTTGGTCTGTAAATTAATTATTTAAACGGTATTTCCACGTTTAGGTGGTTATGTTAATGTTTTCCCGTTACTTTATTAGGATTTTATCGTAATTTATTCAATAAAATTGAGGTTACATCTAGCGATTTCAATGTCAATGGTATTGGGACGAAAATGAGACAATCGAGGAATCCTATTAGCTGTCAAATGCACCGCCTGCCTCAACGTTAGCGAGAGGAAAAAAAGGAGATTCCGATTTTCTAAAAATAACTTTCACGCCGGGAATGCGAAAAACAAAACGAAATTCTTACCTCGGCATCGTTTTCTCCGTTGCTGCGGTTCTTGTCCGACTTGGTTTTGGGGTCCTGCAAAAAAATTAATTTTTGGCAACGAGAATTTATAACCTATTTCGTGTTCGTGCACCGCTTTGGAAGCCAAACTGTCAAATTGCCCGAATGTAACCAAGATACTCACCATATCGTGTTGGATTGTTTAGGAAAACGCGGCAAATAAACGGATTTCAACGGAAAACACTTGAAGAACGTCTAAATTGACAAAACATGCAGAGGCCACGGCCAACGCGACCGTTCACACACCCGACGGATTCTTTCGACGCGTTGCACACAAAAAAACGAACGAAAACTCGACCGATCGACGCTGAAGGGGTTTGTTAAGGTTGCGAACTTAGTTAAAAGGGGTGATTCGAAATTAGCGAAATTATACTGGGGTTAAAGACGAACCGAACATTTTTCGAGATCTACGCCGACGACATCTACCGGCGAAACTGCGCACGACGAACAAAAGCCTGTCACGTGGTCGCCGATCGCGAAGGCATTTGCCATTTCGCAACACCGTTGCCAAGTCTGAGTTTCAAAGATTGTTTTAACGTTTTTAAAACCTTGTTTTGCTGTAAATATTTAACAAAATACTGTAGATTAAACGTTTTATATTATGGTAATATTTATTTTTGTTAAAATGTGAGGGTATTTATACAAATTTACATTTATTTAATGGGTTTGGCAATGTTGTAGTGTTTTTCACAAACAACTGTCGACTTTAGAACAAGTGCGACGAAGACAGATTTAAGTTTTATGCAGGGCCGGACTTAAATATTAATTCATTTTTTTTATCTGGACTCGTGTTTTTTTGTTAGGTTGGTAGCTTATGCCAGTTTGACTTAGTATTTTTAGTAATAAAAAATGGTACTTCTGCTAAAGAATTTAATTAAATACTTTGACACTGTCAAATTTACAATAATATTTATTATTGATAATTTACTTGTCAATTATAAATAAAAAGATAATTATGCCAAAAATAATAGCAACGAATTCGAATGTAAAAGCCCTTTTGAGGGCAAAACTTCATTTTGATGAAATTATGCCAAATGCCACAATGGAAGAAAAAGTACATCGCCTTATGGACATTTTTGGAGTAAAAAATTTGGTTTTATAAATATTACATCACACATTATTTTCACAATATTCACCATTGGACAACATTTACGTTCACAAAAAATTTCTTTTATATAAATTCTGTTCAAAGCAAACATTATTATCATCTAGGAATACTTTCTCTTTTGGGCCGTAAAGCAACCTATATTTAACTACTTTTTTTATATGATTTTACTCATCCAAGCACCACCAAAGCCAAATTAATTGCATTTTTAACTACGAATTTCAACAACTTAACTTGACAACTGCACAATGTAACCTAGAATAATTTATACATAACCACAATTAGATTTATAACTAGCTTAGTTTGTTTTAATCAATGCGACCAACTTGACAACTGTATTTTCCAACCAAAACCCTAAATTTGCAACGTTGCCGCATTCCAGATGAAAAAAATGAACTTTATATAAATATATTTCCTTATTTTGACAAAAAAATAATATGGCGAATAGTTTTTAAATTAAATTGAAATGCACAAAGACACAAAATTACACAAATTTAAAATTAATTTTTGTTACCTACCCAAGACAATTCTCAAATTTTCTGACAAATTTTTGATACAACTTTTCAAATTCCAAAATTATGACAGGATAGGACCCTCCCTTCAAATAAAAAGAAACCTTACCATTCTTCTTGAATTTGACTTTACCATTCTTCTTAAATTTCCCGCCGAATTGGCGTTGCCATGGAAACCAAACTGGCGCCATCGGGTAAATTTTGAAGTTTTGTCAATATTTCCGAAAACGCGAAATAAATAATTAACAAAAATGGCAAAAGCAACGACAATTAAAGATGCTATTAAAAGGTGGGAGGAGAGACATCCCGATGAACAAATTTCTGAAGCTAAAGAGGTGGGATTTCAGTTTCAGTGGCCTCCGATAGAAAAGATGGACAACTCTTTGGCAGCCTTAACGAATTGCACGTAAAATGAAACCATTTTTTTTGCCTAATTTGTGTTCATTTTTACTTTTTTAGTAAGTTGAGTTTGTCGACGAATATGATCGAAAAAATTGCAGGAATAAGTTCATTGAAGAGCCTTAAAATCCTGTCTTTAAGCAGAAACTACATAAAATCATTTTCTGGTCTGGTAAAAACGTTAATAGCATAAGTAAAATGTTAAATAAAGCAACAATAATTATTTTAGGAGGGTTTATCAGACTGTTTAGAGCAACTGTGGATCTCATACAATTTTATAGAAAAAGTAAAAGGCGTACAAGTACTAAAAAAACTTAAAGTACTGTACATCAGCAATAATGTGATAAAAGAATGGGCGGAATTCATGAAATTCAACGAGTTACCGCTCTTGGAAGACCTACTTTTTGTTGGTAATATTTTGCGCCATTTTGACACGTCACAGTTTTGACAGATGTCATTGTTGACAGTTATATACGCTAAAGAAGTATTGCGTAAATTTAAGAATTGTCAATAATACACAGATTATACATAATTTTTAAATAAATAGGTAGTTTTTTTACAAAAGAGAGGAAGACAGCTAAATCGCGCACGTTATTTGTGTTTTACGCTGCAAGGAAAAATTTAAAAAGCTTTTTTAGTACTCGATTTCGATCGATTATTCCTTATATCACTGATTAAGAAACTCAACCCTTAAATGCTTATATAGCTACGTTAGTGTGTGTATTTTATTAAAGGGATCATGGTGAATTATTTTGTTTTTAATTGTAAATAAAATTCAAGAACTAAATCAGTGCATTTTCATGTTTTGCCATAGGATCCAATTCGGTAAGTACATTTTGTTGGTGCAGAATTAACTAACTAACTAACTAACTTTACCTAATATAATTTATATTTAAGTTTGGACATTTTTAAGAAATTAGTAAAAAATAATTTTTGCACAAACATAACCTTAAAATCAACCATTTTTATGTTCGAGTTCTCTAAAAAACGCCGACAACTGCATTTTAAACAACAAAATATACCTACGAATTCATGGAGACATAATATTATATATAACAGAGCTGCAACAAGTCAGTTTTAAAAAGACTTAAATCTTAAGTCTTAAGTCAATTCTAAAATCAAAATGATTTAAATCTTAAGTTAATTCTAAGATAAAGTTCAAATGATTTAAGTATTAAGTCTTTGAATTAAATCATTTTCTTTCAAGTCAAGTCATTTTCGCAAATTCTTAAATCAATATAAAGTGATTTAAGTCATCTTATGACTTAATTCCTTTAGTAAGTCGTTTTTATGACTTAAGTCTATATTTTTTATTTAAATCGTGATCTAAGAGTTAAGTCAATAAAATGACTTGAATCAAAAATTGTGATTTAAATCAAAATAATTACAATACAACGATTTTTTAAATATTAATAATAATATTATGGTATTAATGATACTGATATTATTAATCTATTGTAGATACAGATGATAATAAACCACTATGTTAAGAATTTAAAACGATTTATTTTCAGAACACTTACAAACAAAATAAAAACTTAAAACAAATTTTTTGAGAATATATTAGGCAATAAAAATAAAAACTTAAACCACCTTTTTTAGTAGAGTAGACATACAGGGAGGCTACTTTTTTATATACATAAATGGGTAACTTCTAAACGGTAATAGATTCAAACTCTGTTAAAATAGATAAAAGTTGAAGCATTTTTCTTAAAATCGCTGTATTTCAATTGTTCATATTGTTTTCACTTTGCACTAATCATCACAAATTAGACATAACTACGCACGAACATGAACACAAACAAAATAACAAAATTATAAATCCCCACTTTTTTTAATTCATTTTAGACAGGACATTTTTTAATGTAGCCGTCAAACGGTTCCAAAAAGCTAACTTTACCGCGGCGGTTTTTTTTATCCACTAGCGGTAGCAATTGTAGGTAGGAAATTAAAGGAGTTTTTGATCTGCTGCCGCGTGAACCCCTGGCAGTTCAAAAGAAAATGCCGCTGTTAAAAATTTATAAAAAAATATATGAAAAATCTGACTTAAATATTTTCTAAAAAGACTTAAATCTTTTTCAAAAAGACTTAAATCTTTTTTTGACTTAAATCGTTTCTCTCTGACTTAAATCGTATGTACTGATTTATAAATGACTTAAGTTTATTCTATTTTGAAAAAAAATATTTAAGTCACAAATCATTTTGAAAATTACTTAAATTTTAAGTCTTAAGTCAGTTTTAGAGAAATGACTTATTAACAAATGACTTAAGTCATTAAAACGATTTAAATCAAAAAAACGATTTAAGTTTTCTGAGAGCTTGCAGCTCTGATATATAATACATAATATAACGGTATTTTACAGTTGAGTGGAGACTTTCTTAATCAACGCTTTTAATAATGCTAAATGCTGTTTAAATTTAGACGACTTATTTGTTTGACGATTTTTACTGAATTGAAATGTTTACACTTTCACGTTAATCACTACTAAAATGTGTATTTATTGTATCTAATAGGAACAATTTATATTTACAGAGACTGTATCCAATTTATTTCTTCATTCAGATTAACACTGTTTATTGGAAAACCGGTAAAAACTCAACCCAGGATTTCCTCTCGAAATACACCCAACAATTAAGTTATTTATTATTAAGTTATTTTGTTATGATGATAACAACCGAGTGGTGGCGCTACTAGCGATACTTCTTTAGCGTTTTGCCAACAAAATAAAACTTTAAAATGCAAAATTTTTTTTTTTTTAGGAAATCCTTTATATGATAATTTGGAAGAATCAGTTTGGAAGTCAGAGGCTGCAAGAAGACTGCCAAATCTGAAAAAACTAGACGGAGAGCCTGTATTAAGAGACGTTTAACCCTGATAGATATTTATTTGTAAAATTAACATTTTATGTATTACATATCAAGAGTAGTTTTCTGTTTTCATGTCGTTTAACCCCAATTCTTCATTTTGCTCGTGATTTCTTTCAAATCTGGATATTCTCATGCCTTCATCAGGTTTATCATCGTCTCTCATACTCTAAAAACAAAAATACAGTACATTTTATACACTCACGTGTAAAATAATCGATCCACACAAATTTTCGATGAATTTCAATCGCAAATAACTTTTTTATTTGATGTCGGATTTAAACGAATATTAAAGAATATTGTAGATAAATTAATGGACAATCGCTCACATTTTAAAAAAATACTAAAAAATAGACGTACGTTTATAATATACAGGTTTAAACAAAAATATGTTTTTTACCATAAGTTTAAAACACTCTGTAGCGTGGCATAACCGTATATTGTTCTAAATTAAGTTTTATTTATCAAGTCACATCTATTCCTAACAGTTTTGTTTTTGGTTCACCTCGATATATTTATTTTTGTGGAAAATATGGATTTTTCTAAAAAATATTGCAATTTCCAATAACCTCGGTCAATGGCCATTTGTAAGAAGAAATATATCGAGGTGAACCAAAAACAAAACTATTAAGAATAGATGTGACTTGATAAATACAACTTAATTTATAACAATATACGGTTTTGCCACGCTACAGAGTGTCTTAAACTTATGGTAAAAAACATATTTTTGTTTAAACCTGTATATTATAAACGTACGTGTATTTTTTAGTAATTTTTTAAATTGTGAGCGATTGTCCATTAATTTATCTACAATATTCTTTAATATTCGTTTAAATCCGACATCAAATAAAAAAGTTATTTGCGATTGAAATTCATCGAAAATTTGTGTGGATCGATTATTTTGCACGTGAGTGTATTTAATAAAACTTCTTACTTGAACGTAGCTGTTTCCAGCAGGATCATTCAGTATTAAAGTAACAGAAAGTCGCCCCTCCAAAACATCTTCAAATTTTTTGAAGAATTCTTCGAACTTCTTTTTGGATTTCTCATCGGAGGAGTCTCCAAACATCTGCGAACGTTTGGGGTCGCACAACTGGTCCCTCATCGCCGTTATTAACCCCTCCACCGTGGTAAATCGCCCCCCCAAAGCGTGGGGCCCCACTTCCAACTCCAACTGCGGGATTTTCAAGTCGCAAGTTTCAGACTAAAATAAAAAAACTTGCAAAAATGTTTTTTTGGTTTTTTTCAAGTACTTTTAAAACATCCCGAGAAAAATCGTCCCTTGTTCTGACGTCAATTTCGATTTCCACCCCTTTGGGTTCGATTCCTCCCCCAGATTTTACTTCATTTGTTCTTATTCCGCACACCTCGCAACATGTGGCCATAATGACCACTTGTTTAAAATGGGGAATGTCTGAAATACCACAATAACAATATACAACACTTTTTTATAATATAATATTATAATGAAAGCAAAAGTGTAAAGTGGGAGGTCGATTGGACCCTTTCATTAAATGTTTAATAAAAATAATAAGCTAATTTTATTAATTAGATTAAAAAATCGCCGCGGCGGGCAAATAAATAATAACCGTCGCAACAAAGAGTATACGTAGACACTTCCTACATTCAAATGACATTTGATTTGATCATCAAATGACATTTGATTTAATCATCAATATTAATATACATAAATAACCATTTTCTACAACCACAAGGTATGTAAAAGTTACATTACGTATTGGCATTGTTGCTTAGAAAATTAATCTTTCCATTGGCAAGGCAAAACACGAATGTAAAGTGACATTTCTGTGTGAAAAGCACATACTTCCACTTGTGGAAGTATGTGGTGAAAAGTGACAGGTTTGTCAAAGAAAGAAATTGACAGCATCGTTTGACATTCATTTCAAAATTTGTGTTGTATTTTTTGTATATGTATGTCTAAATGTCATTTAGAACACAATTAATTGTGTTTGTATAATAAAATGATTTTAAGTAAGTTATACCTTAAAAATTAAAAGAATAAGATGAAAGTAATTTTAAGAGCTGTCAAACACGTTTTTAGGTTATTTTGTTTTGTATTAGAACTTGTAAGAAAGGCTTTCTTCAAGCTCGCAAGCACTCGCATGAAAAAGTCGCTTTTCAATACTTGTGAAACAAATAACAATTGCTTGTTTTTGCATAATGGCAAAAAGTATTGCATCAACGTGTAACCCGAGTTGCCTACCTGTCATTTTCATGTTGGTTTCACATGGAGATCCACAATTGGAACAATTTGTGGGGAATTGCAATACTTCCCCCTGAAAATCTTCATAGGAGAACTCTCCTTCAGCAATGGGGTGTAAAATACTAGATTCTTTATTCCCTGTCAACTCTTGTTGGGTAAAAATACCCACATCGTGATCTTGCTGTGTGGTACGATTAAAGTACACCATGGTACAATTGGGGTCCCCTTGTGGAGCGTTAGGGTTTTGTATGAAGCTATTCCCGGAGATATCTTCAAGAATCTACAAAAAAAATCGTTAAAAACACCGCCAAAATAATATAAATAACGTATTTACCAGTGTGAAATTTTGACTTTTTAAATCTTTTAATTTTTCCACAAAATCGTCAATTTGTTGGGCTGCCTCAGGGTGCTGTACTCTCCTCAAAACCTGATCTTGCTCTAAACCATTCACACTCCTATCAATAATACCTTCCACAGTCGTAACTTCTAAAAAACAACCAAAAATCAACGTACAACCAAAAAAATTTAAAACTATTATATGTACCCCCCTTTTTGACTCTTTGCAGGTATCTCAAAGTCAACCTCGAGTATCTTAACGCTGGTATAATCACTTCTAACAACCTGTCTATTCAAATCGCTCGGCTCCTTAACATTCAGCGTAAATCGCACACCTTTCTCCCCGATTTGAGACCCCGATTGAATTTCGTTGTTCTGAAAACCGCACTCGTCGCAAGAAAAAGACATCAGTATAACTTCCTTGTAGAAAGGAATTTTAGTCAGCAATAGTCTCGTCATTCCCTATATAATAATAAATAAATAAAAATATTGCAAAAAGATTAGTTTGCGTACTTACGGAGGCGTGACAGTTCATGCAGAGAGAATCGATCACTGTCGCTTCGGGATCGGGGTCGTCGGGGTTTAAATCGCGAAAAATTGGCTGATTTGTGCCCATTTTAGCTAAAAAACGCGAAATGGAACGTGAGGATTTTGAGGTTAGAAATGCGAGGTTATGTCGACGTTTGACGTTTCCAATTGGAACTACTTTGATTATGTCATAGATTAGATAAAGTGGATTATGTTTAATCTCGCCGACAACGCTTGTTTATCCAATAAAACCAATATTTTTATAATGTTATCTTGTATTATTAATTGTAATAGTAGTTTTTATAATTATTAAAACCTTATTTAGTAGAAAATCCAAATCGCCCTTTTTTGGTTTAGTAGTTTGTTTGCACATTGTGATAATGGCGCCAAAACTGTTACCACTGTTATTTTTGTGTTTGTGCATTTATTCTGTGTAAAACTTTCTTTATAATCTATGATAAAACTGCATGACAAGCTATTATTTACTGTAAATTAGTTAAGTTTTACCCAAAAGTATGTTTAAACCGGGTTCAATCCGTAAAATAGAAGTTAAGAACTTTGTGTAAGTTTTGAAACTTATATCTTGCTTTGTTCTTATTTCACGTATTTTCCAGCACATACAGCTATGCAGAGCTGCATCCTGGCCCCAATCTAAACATGATAATAGGCCCCAATGGGACAGGCAAATCTACCATGGTGGCAGCCATAATTTTGGGGTTGGGTGGTAGCCCCAAAATTGTGGGAAGAGGGCACAAAATATCGGAGTACGTGAAACACGATTGTGAGTTTGCGACGATACACATTTATCTGCAAGGCGATAGGGAGAATAAGTTTATTCAAGTAAGTAGGGAGTTTGACATTCAAGAACACAACGTTTGGAAGATCGGGGGTGTACAAAAGACTTTGACGCAGTTGAAGGAGTATGTGGGGCAATTTAACATACAGGTGGATAATTTGTGTCAGTTTTTGCCCCAAGACAGAGTCCAGGATTTTGCCAAAATGAACAAACAAGAGTTATTAAAACAAACGCAAATTGCCCTATGTAAAAACGACTTGATCGAGAAGCAAAACATGCTCATAGAAAGCCGTAGCAGACACAAAGAGTTGCTCAGTGCTGTCGAGAAGAGCACAAAGAAGTTGGAGGATGCCAAAGAAAAAAACATGCGATTGGAGGGAAGAGTAGCCAACTTCAAAAAGAAGCGTAAATACAATGAGAGAATGGCTCATTTAGACCGACGTGTGGCGTGGATTTTGTACGAAAATTGCAGGGATAAGTTGCAGGAGGTTAAATCCGATAAGGCTAAAGCTACAGAGGCGTATGACAAGCATAAAAAAGCTATTGAACCCATGGAACAACAAATCAGAGGCGGGAAAGAAAATGTTAGGAAGTTTCAAGAAAGAAATGCCAAAATAGTAAGATTTTTCAGTTATACGCCGCATTTTTAATATTTTTTTTATTTTTAATAGGCACAAATAATTAGGAGCTCTGAAAGTCAAATTAGAGAAAATAACGACACTATGGAGAATTTGAAGGACTCCATACAAAGGATTGAAAGTGATGCAGATGCTAAAATAAGCGAAATAGAAGAAAGACAGAAGGAAATTGAAGCTAATAAAGCTAAATTGAATGAGTTGAAGAATGTTTACTCTGAAATTTCCAACAAAGTAGCTGAAGGTAGTTATTTTTTATTAATTTGCTTTTAATTTTTAAACAGTTTGGGATTTAAAAAAATATTGAGAATTTAAAATTGAGGGCCTTAAAATAAAAGGGGTATAAATGGAGCTCCCTGTTTATCAAAAATGCGTTATCTACAATGTCAAGTAACAAGGAAAAAATAATTATTTGGTTTTTATTTTTTTTATTTAGGCAAATAGTTTTTGTTTCTTTTTTTTTTACTAAATGAAGATTTTGTCTATTTTTAAGGTTTTTTTATCAATATTCGCGATGTTAATAATTTTATAAAATTATTTTTAATATATCATTTATGCTACTTTTTTAATTTTGAACTACTGTGCGGATGTGAAAACGATAAAATGTTCAAAGAACGAATAGGTAAAATAAATAAATATTTGATTAAAAATTTTGTTAACAAGAAAATTTTAGTTGTTTTAAAAATTGTGGAAATTTGAAAATATAGTAAATTTTGATAAATCTGAAAATTTTAGAAATTTTGGAAAATTTTGATATTTATGCCACTCTGCAAATTTTTTCTACCGCTGCGAATTTCTCCTGTTAATTTTTAAATGTATGCCACTTTTTTAATTTTAAACTACTGTGCGGATGTGAAAACGATAAAATGTTCAAAGAACGAATAAAATAGATAAAGTTTTGATTAAAAATTTTGAAAAATATGCAAATTTCGAAAAAATTTTAAACTAGATAATTTTAGGAGTTTTAAAAATTGTGGAAAATTTAAAAATATTGTAAGTTTTGATAAATTTAAAATTTGGAAAATGTTGATTTTTATGCCACTCTGCAAATTTTTTCTACCACTGCGAATTTGTCCTGTTAATTTTTAAATGTATGCCACTTTTTTAATTTTGAACTACTGTGCGGATGTGAAAACGATAAAATGTTCAAAGAACGAATAAAATAAATAATGTTTTGATTAAATATTTTGAAAAATATGCAAATTTCGAAAATTTTGTAAACTAGATAATTTTAGGAGTTTTAAAAATTGTGGAAAATTCGAAAATAAATCTGAAAATTTTAGAAATTTTGGAAAATTTTGATGTTTATGCCACTCTGCAAATTTTTTCTACCACTGCGAATTTGTCCGGTTAATTTTTAAATGTATGCCACTTTTTTAATTTTGAACTACTGTGCGGATGTGAAAAAGAATAAAATGTTCAAAGAACGAATAAAATAGATAAAGGTTTGATTAAAAATTTTGGAAAATTTAGCAAATTTCGAAAATTTTGTTAACTAGATAATTTTAAAATTTGGAAAATGTTGATGTTTTAATTTTGAACTACTGTGCGGATGTGAAAACGATAAAATGTTCAAAGAACGGTTTGATTAAAATTTTTGGAAAATATGCAAATTTTTTAGTAGTACATTTACAAAATTTTGTAACCTTGGACAGTAATTTTTGTCTTCATATTTTGAAACACTGTTGGCGTGTACATTGTACAAAATTTCTTTTCAGACGAAGCAAAAAAACGCACCTTCCAATCGGACGTGCAAAAGTTGATAACGACGAAGGAAAGCTTGGAGGACAAGCGCGAAGAAATCGCGCAGCACAAGCAAAACAAATCGGCGGAGATCCGCTCGGTCGAGTCTGAAATGCAGCGCCTGGAGAACGTCAAAGGCCAACGGTTGCAGAAGCTGCAGCGCACTGACGCGCACGCCTACGAAGCCACTCTATGGCTGCGCAACAACAAGCACATGTTTAAAGGCGAGATATTCGAGCCGATTATGTTGGAGGTGAACGTTCTGGACGCAAAAAACGCCATCTACCTGGAAAACGTGATACCGCAGCGAGATAGACTGGCTTTTACGTGCGTGGAAAAGTCCGACATGAACCTCTTGATTCAGCAGCTGCGCACCAAACAAAACTTGACCATCAGCGTGCTGCATTCCGGCAACACCGGGCAACCGCTGAGCAGCTTCAGACCTGATGTGCCCATCGAGCAGCTGTCGAAATACGGGTTGTATACCTACTTGTTCGATCTTTTTACCGCACCTGAACCGATTATGCGGTACTTGTGCAACACGTACAGGGTGCACAATATTCCGATCGGCAATCAGAAGACCAACCAGATGTACGAAAGAATTCCCCAGCAGATCAGGCAGTTTTTTAGCGGTAAGCATTTTTTATTTAAATAATTTTTTCATAAATATTTTTCTAAAATATATTAATGTTATGTAATTAATGTTATATATTAAAATACTGAATATCTTTTGACATAAGGAATAAAGGAAAAATATTTAAAAAAACATTTTTCCAAAGATAAAGAAAAAACACTTGTTTATCTCTGCACACCTGTATTTTGTGAGTACATAGATACCAACCAACAAAGTAGCTATGCGTTGCCAGATGTAAAAAATTGTTACTAAAAATTTTTCTTGCAAAAAATAAATAAAAACTCAATAAATACAAAAGTTTTATGCCCTTAAAGCTCTAATATCCTTCTGTATTTATTTACTGATCCAGCTATTAGCTTAAGCAATGATTAGAAAATTTAGCACCTTAGAAATTTGAAATCCATAACCACAAAATTAATTTTTTCATCAGTTTTTTTCTCTGTTTACTCAGATGAAATTGGGACCAGTTCACAGGTTAAACTTTAAACATTTAATTTGTGTAAATAAATCCAAAAGCACTTCCCTTAGTTAAGATATTTACAATTTGAAAACATAACCTAAAATTTAAAAGAAATGCACTAGATTCTGTCATAAAAGTTGGCAGATTTTGTTTGAATTTACCTTCAGTACAAAAATAAAATAACCAACAATTAATAAAAACGCCAAATTGACAATTTGCATTGTTAATTTTGTCATTTTTGTAATTAAGCTAAATTTAAACAATGTTTGTCAACTTTTTTGAGAGATTTTGGAAACACTGTTGTTACCAACCATAACATAATAAATCCACCAGATTAACCTAAAGTTCTTAGTCGATCAGTGGCGTACTTTTTGGTAGGATAAAGGTTATTATAAATTATTTTTAGACTTTGAAATTTAGAAAAAAAAAGTTTCAGGTGCTTCTTTATGGACCCTAAGGAACAACCCATTTTAATATATAACATTAATAACACCCTGTATATATATATATATATATATATATATATATATATATATATATATATATATGTATATATAGGTATTAGACTGCAGCCCATGGGCCAAAAAAATTGACTATTTTTTTTTTGAAAAATATATCGAGAATGTCATTCAGAATGACAACAAAATATTTCGTGAAAATTTGAGCCCTTAATATTAATTTTAAAAGCTAATTTTGATTTTTAGTTATAATTTGATGTTTTACGTTAGAACTGTCAAAACATTAAAGTGAAAAAAATTCCTTTTCACTTACTTTTATATAAAATTAAATTCTCTACAAAAAAGGTCTGATTGAAAATTTTCGTCAGACGAGCAGTTTCCGAGTAATTGAGCTAAATAAATCGATGTGTTTTTTCGATTTGCCCTTTTTACTTTGAAATTTTGTAACTAATGAATCAATGAATATTTAAAAAAGCTCACGTCGGATTCTTAAAGGAAATTTAATGTTCTACAAAAAAGGTCTCTTAACATTTTTGCCTAAATTTAATTCTTCAAAAGTTATTCACGATTAAAATCGAAGAAAAACTTAAAATTTCAATTTTTTTAAAGTTTTGGTTTAATATTTTATTCTACAAAATTATTGGTTTAAATTTTTAAAGAGTCATTTAATTAATAGTTAATACATTTTTAATACAAAAATTCTCACATTACATTAAATGTAAGTTTTAAATTTTAAAGTAGTAATTTTTGGATTAAAAATTTATCGACTATCATTTAAACGACTCTTTACAAATTTAAACCAATTTTTTTTATTTTTAACAATTTTAAAGTGATATATTTTTAAGACAAAATTTATAACTTTAAATTTAAATGTAAGTCGATAATTTTAAAATTACAAAGTGTAAACGTAGCTTTAGTAGAAGGCACAAGAGTCTGGGATCCGTTGATGTTTTTTAATTGTCGAAAACTTAGTACAATAGCCTATTGTCAATAGGCACTAAAAATGTTGTTGTTCTATTATTAAATTTATGTAATAAAGAAACATTTCATTACGATAATTTGTAAAACGCGTCAAATATTTATGGAACAAGCACGATTTGGCAACACTGTGCCTTCTACTAATGCTACGTTTACACTTTGTAATTTAAAAATTATCGACTTACATTTAAATGTAAAATTATAAATTTTGTCTTAAAAATGTATCAATTTAAAATTGTTAAAAATAAAAGTTATTGCTTTACATTTGTAAAGAGTCATTTAAAATTTTAATGCAAAAATTACCACATTAAAATTTAAAACTAACATTTAAATGTAATGTTCAAATTTTTGTATTGAAAATTTATCGACTATCATTTAAATGACTCTTTACATATTCAAACAAATAATTTTGAAGAATAAAATATTAAAATTCCATTTTTTAAAAATTCATATTTTTAAACTTAAACTTTTACAGTTGCATTTTATATTTAAAATATTTTTTGATTATCAATAGTTTTGAGTTTACAAAAATTTATCTTTTTAAACTATTTTGGTAGAAAATGTTTTATATGTGTTTTTATTTTAAATGGCTTGATACTATTTTTAAATACTAAAAAATTTACCAAATTAATCTCAATAATTTTATAAAATATTTATTTAAGTTAACAAAATGCCACCCAAATAAATTATACTTGAGAAATTATTTTTATTAAAAAACGATAGAAATTTTTGCGAAAATTGAAAGAAAATAATATTGTTTAATACAGAAGTAAAGTGTTGGTTAGTAAATTTTGTTTTTCAATACATTATAGTTGAAAATATTATAAATTTATAAATGTAATCCTAAAATTTTTAGTTGGGAAAATTTTAAACCAATAAAATTTTAAAGTAAAAAATTATTTAATAAATGTTAAAACGGCGTGCCATAGTTTTTTGTAACTTTTGACATCCGTCATCTTTTTTAGACAAATACAAATTTTCCATATCGGTCTCGAGGTACACTGGCGAAAAGAGCACGCGGCAACAAGCAATAAGCGGCGACGGAGGCCTATCCATATCGGTGGACGTTCTAAAGCTGGAAAAAATCAGGGGGCAAAGGGAGGAGTGCCGCAGAACCTTGGGCAAATACGACGAAAACCTTAATAACCTAACCGCGCAGGTAACTATGGCAACACCGCAGCTTGTCAAAACAAACGATAACTATGTCTCTCTCGAACCGTGTGACGTCATGTGCGAACCAAAAGCTGGCAGGTAACTGACTTGGAATGTTACGGTTAATACTTAAAAAACACAATAATTTTGAAAAAAACTCAAAAGAAATAAAAGTCTAAAACCTATCCTCCGTGACTGTTACTCTTTCTAGGTTAACCTATATGTTTTCGAATATCTGAGGTAGTAAAAGCATACTAAAAATATCAGTTCACTAAGTAAATTAAACACATTCAAAGCAATCGAATCAAATATAAAATATTATTAAAAATTAAAAGAAATAATTTTTATAACCGTTTATGTAGGTGTTACGAAAATTGATTCTATCCTCCGTGAATCTGTTTTGCTTTAAATTTTATGCAACGGATGGCGCTTTAATCATTTTAAATAAGCAGAAACCTCTGTTTACGACATTATTGATGCATGTGATTCCTGAAGGTCAGTTAGAATTTATATGCAGATGAGAGTGTTGCTGTTTTATAATTCAAAAGTTTAAGTTCATTTATTTGCTATTTAAAAACCTATCCACCGTGAAGTGTAATATCTCAGTAAGTAGATTTTTTTTATAAATATTTTATGTATGTACAATTTTTTTTTTTTTAATATTAAGGTGTCAAAAGATAACTTATTTCAAATATACAAAGGGATGTTTTAAAAAAAACATATGAAATGCTAACCTCCGTGAAGATCTAATATTCAAAATGTATGATTTCTTAAAATTCTTGCATTAGTGCAGAACCACTTATGTTATGTTATTACTAGACCTGGTGGCTTCCCAAAAACCCCATTCTAGATTAACAGTGAAACAACCAAAAATAAAAAATAATCATTTTCACTTGGGGGACATCTCAATATACAGGGTGAGCTTTAAGTTGACGCGTTCCTTTTAACAGCGTGTAGAAATCAGATAAACAAATAAATATTTTAAGTAACTTTTTTATCAAAACTCAAAAATAAGAGAGTTATAGGCCTTCCAAGTTTAATTAAATTTTGAGCCGGTCCTGGCTATTGTTAACAAAAAACATAACCATAAAAATAACAAAATAAACAATGCAAAATGTCATCTATGACAACAAACATAACCATTTAAATCAAAATGACATTTAGCAATGAAAAATGTCAGTTTTTTTGTGCCTCAATTATTGTTAAAAATGGTTCATAATTATAGCAATAATGAATTAGTGGAAATATTACTAATTTATGGAAAGTGTCGTCAAAATGCAAATGCTGCAACTTAAGTAAATAATGACATTTTTTATTGCAAAATGTCAATTTGATTTAAATGGTTATGTTTGTTGTCAAATATGACATTTTGCATTGATTATTTTGATATTTTTATGGTTATGTTTTTCGTTAACAATAGCCAGGACCGGCTTAAAATTTAATTAAACTTTGATGGGCTATAACTCTTTTATTTTTTTGTTTTGATAAAAAAGTTACTTAAAATATGTATTTGTCTAGCTGATTTCTACACACTGTTAAAAGGAACGCGTCAACTTAAAACTCACCCTGTATTATACTTAAAAAAATACAATAATTCCAGAAAAAACTCAAAAGAAATCGTTTGCAACATTTGAATCTGGTTCGCGCGTGACGTCACATGCGCGGAGTATACGATTTTTCGTTTCGTAACCGCCGCACCGTGTACCAAAATCCTCTTTCAGGTGGAAAAATACAACCAAGGTATCGACATCTTGCGCACGAAATTGCGGGAAATCGGGGAGAAAAAGCATCAAGCAGATGCGGTGCAAAACCGAATAAGAGCCATGGCGAACAAAATAGTTGAGATGGAGAGGCTTAAAACCGACCCCGATGAAATTATGAACGACGCGAAAGTCAAGAAAAAAGTAAAAAAAAAAAATTTAATTTTTTTTTTGTAATTTTTTGCGTTTTAGAAAATCATTCAGAAGTGTCTTAGCCTACAGGAGGTGATCAAGAACGAGTTCAAAAAAATCGCGACGTTGTTCACCAAAAATATTTTGTCGAATATAGAAATTGACAGTTTGAGGAAAAAAGTTGCCTTTTTGGAGAATAAAATCAATGACAGCAGACAAGCTTTACGGGAGGCAGAGGACACTTTGAACAGGGTAAGTTTTGTAATAAAAAGTACATAAAGTTAATTTTTTTTTATCTGGACTCGTGTTTTTTTGTTAGGTTGGTGGCTTATGCCAGTTTGACTTGGTATTTTTAGTATTTATTAATTTACTTGTCAATTATAAATAAAAAGATAATTATGCCAAAAATAATAGCAACGAATTCGAATGTAAAAGCCCTTTTGAGGGCAAAACTTTTTTTGAGTAAAAAAGTAACGAATTTGGTTTTATAAATATTACATCACCATTGGACAACATTTACATTCACAAAAAATTTTAATTTCTTTTATATAAATTCTTTTCAAAACGAAGATTATTATCCGCTAGGAATAGTTTCTCTTCTGGGCCGTAAAGCAACCTATATTTAACTACTTTTTTATATGATTTTACTCATCCAAGCACCACCAAAGCCAAATCAATTGCATTTTTAACTACGAATTTCGACAACTCAACTTGACAACTGCACAATGTAACCTACAATAATTTATACATAACCACAATTAGATTTATAACTAGCTTAGTTTGTTTTAATCAATGCGACCAACTTGACAACTGTATTTACCAACCAAAATCCTAAATTTGCAACGTTGCCGCAGTCCAGATAAAAAAAATGAACTGTGCGTTTAAAAAAAATTCTCTTGATAATTAGATTATAGTTTGAAGATTAAAGTTTAGCACTTTAATGATGTTTTAACAAAAATTTACAAAGTTAATTTTTTTAAAATTAAAATACAACTGTTAAAGTTTAAGCTTAAAAATACAGGTTGTATGTAATGTAATATGTATATTAATATTTTTTCAAGATAAAGAAGTTTTTTATATTTTTTGTGATATCAATAATAAGCTATTTTAACCCATTTTAAAAATGACAAAACAATTAATCTATGGTAAGGCTGTGTTATAATTGCAGTGGTAAAAGTAATAAAAATAAAATGCCAAAGAAAAAAGATATGATGAGAAACCTTTAATTAATATTTATTTAAAATTAAAATTTAATGTTATAATTTTTTTGTTAAGATTTTATTTTTTGTTTTATAATTGGTTTGTTTACTTTTTTAAATAAATTTATTAAAAACATTTTTATTCTGGCTAACATAATTATATCCGATATTATGATATTTATATAAATATTAGACTGGGCCAAAAAAATCAACTATTTTTTTTTTAAAGTATATCGAGAATATGGTTTGGGGTGACAAAAAAATTATTGTGAAAGTTTGAGTCCATAATATTAATATTAAGAGATCTTTTTTTCCTCAGAAAGTTTTTATCTCAGAACTCCCAAACCATTGAGTTTAACAAAATTGACTTGAAAATATTTTTTAAGAAAATTAAATGCTCTACAAAAAAGGTTAAAGTGAAATTTTTCGTCAGATGAACCGTTTCCTTAAAGTCATGCCTTAAAAATTGGTATAATTTTACATTTTGATCTTTTAAATTGGAATTTTCTAATTCATGTAAAAATCAGTACCCATAAAAAACCGATAAATATTTTTATGGGAAATCAAATGCCTTACAAAAAAAGCCTCATTTTGGCTAAATTCACTCAATCAAAAGTTATTCAAGGTTAAAATTTGGTTTTGACTTCAAATTTAACCTTGAATAACTTTTGATGGAGTGAATTTAGCCAAAAATGATAAAAGACTTTTTGTAGAGCATTTGATTTCCCATAAGAATATTTATCGTTTTTTTTCCGGGAACTAATTTTTACATGAATTACAAAATTCCAAAGTTAAAAGATCAAATTGTAAAACTATACAAATTTTTAAGGCATGATTGTAAGAAATTCCAATCAAACCTTTTTTGTAGAGCATTCAATTGTCTTCCAAAAATATTACTTCGTCAAATTTGTTAAACTCAATGGTTTGGGAGTTCTGAGACAAAAACTCACTTAGGAAAAAAAAATCCAAAATTGCGATGATAGACCTCTTAATATTAATATTATGGACTTTCACCACAATTTTTTTGTCACCCCAAACAATATTTTCGATATACTTTACAAAAAAAAATCGATTTTTTTGGCCCAGTCTAATAAATATCATGATATTTTCGAACCCTGGTATTTTCAAATACAAAAAAATTAACTTTACCAATAATTTTACTAAATATTTATTTAAGATTTACAAAATTCTGCCCAAATAAATTACTTAAGAAATTATTTTTATTAAAAAATTATGGTTAGAAATTTTTGAATAAATGATTGGAAATAATATTGTTTAAAACATAACCTAACTGTTGGTTAATAAATTTTGTGTTTCAATGCATGATAGTTGAAAATATATTAAATTTAAAGAAAAATTTCGACTTTTTTGCATTATCAGATTAAAGAGCACTATTCTGAGGTGATGGCGGAAGCAAAGACGGTTTTGAACCGCGCCAAACAGCTGTCGAACGGTTTTACGCCGGGCGACGACGGTTTTAACGAGTTCCGCGACATTTTCGACGGTTTAAGCGGCGACTTGAAACACCTAAAAACCGAAAAGGAACAGATCCAGTCGAAGATCAGCTGCCTGAACACCGCCGACGACGGAGAAATGGACGAATACGCTGACAGGTGGGTTAAGACCAAAGTAGACGGTTATCGGACACTTTATAGTTATTGGACAATTAACATTAATACTGTAAAAACAAGACTTCTATAAATAGTTACCTTAAAGTCAAATCATTAGATGGCGTTGTATAAAGTAGAAACCACGAATATATGAACGTGACTCATCAGGCACAATCGTACGAAACAATCTATCGAAGGTCACGGTCCAGTGCAGTGCTGTTCTAACTGGGGCATAAGTATTTGTAAAAAATATTGAGTGTAATGTTGGTTGCTATACTTCTGATATATTTGCTTTTAAAGTTAAATCCATGTACACACTTGAGTGTAATGTTGGTTGCTATACTTCTGATATATTAGCTTTTAAAGTTAAATTTTAATAATTAACATCTGCGATAATTATATATATTATATATATAAATGTAATTTTCTTAGAAACTAATTAATAAATAAACTTTTCTTTTAACTTCAAATGCAAATATTTCAGAATGGGTGACAAAAAACAAAAATGTTTAAAATCATATGACATATAAAGTCATATGACATATAAAAACAAATGCGTCGGCAGTCATGCGCGAATTCCCAGCCAATAGGCTTCTTCTCCGGTTACATATGAAATGTAATTTTGCGATTTTTACTACACCCCGAATGTAAAAAAACATTTGAACCTGTAATATTAAGACTAATAAAGTTTATTTACATTTAGTTCGTTAAATTTACTTGTTGTATCAATAATTAATACATAACATTAGTAATTTTACAAACAAAAATGTTTATTTACTTGAAATATATAAAAATTAGACGAAAATAAAGGTAATTTTACAATTTGTCGTAAAAATTAGGAATTTATGTGGTAATAATCCTGTAACTTTACATTTAAATGTAATAATTTTTTTCAGTGTAGAGTTGGTTGCCTTACTATGTAATAAAATAAAATGCCTAAAACACGAACTCTACTGAATTCCAATAAAAATAAGTAACAAGCTAGGACACAAGCGTCATATGTCCATCTTTGTCCAACACCTAGGCAGTTTTACATCACAGATGGCGCATTTTAGACCGGATGCTTAAAAACCTACGTGTGAGTACATTTACCGCTGTATCGAATGTACAAGACAAGTAAAACATTACTGCTAGCATGTCTGAGATATGTTCGGTACCCGATGAGTCACGTTCATATATTCGTGGTTTCTACTGTACAATTATAACAATCTCAGTCGGTAATAATATAGAACTACTTTATTTTGGGTCCAATACAGGACAAAAAAGTTCGCACGTTACTTTGGTGGTAAGATTTTTGTTTTTTTTGTTAAGAGCAGGGCTGTGTTTAAATTACAACAAACAATATTTCTAAAAAGTGTACAGATCAGTGTGTGGTATGGTTTAAACATTGTCACTTTAGTGCGTTTTAATTTTAATTCTGAAAACAAACAGTAAAATGGCCAGTGTCCAATTACTGGTTGGTAAAAAATTTAAATTTCTATTATTGCACATTAGACTGGGTCAAAAAAAAATCGACAATTTTTTTTTTGTAAAGTATATCGAAAATATTGTTTGGGGTGACAAAAAAAAATATGGTGAAAGTTTGAGTCCATAATATTAATATTAAGAGGTCTATCATCGCAATTTTAGATTTTTTTTTCCTGAGCGAGTTTTTGTCTCAGAACTCCCAAATCATTGAGTTTAACAAAATTGACTTAAGAATATTTTTTGAAGAAAATTGAATGCTCTACAAAAAAGGTATGATTGGAATTTCCCGTCAGATGAACCGTTTTCTTACAATCATGCCTTAAAAATTGGTATAGTTTTACAATTTGATCTTTTAACTTTGGAATTTTGTAATTCATGTAAAAATCAGTACCCTGAAAAAAAACGATAGACCTCTTAATATTAATATTATGGACTCAAACTTTCAAAATAATTTTTTTTGTCACCCAAAACCATATTTTCGATATACTTTTCAAAAAAAAAATAGTTGATTTTTTTGGCCCAGTCTATTGCACATCCTTATGTCCAATATCATACTCTATTTGTATCCCGGACATTTACCAGCGAATACTTATGTAAAATTGTCCCCTGAATCCGAAAAGACCGTCAAAAACTATAAAAGTTAAGCAGTTTTTGAGATATAGTCAATTCCATATTATATGTAAAATTGATTATATTTCAAAAACTGTTCTACTTTTATAACTTTTGACGACATTTTCGGATTCAGCGAATAATATTTTAAAGGAATTGACTGCTAAATGTCCTGGATACAAATTGCTGTTGACGAGAATTATTAGTGGCTGCTTTTTCGCTATGACATTTTTGAATAATTCATTTTTAGAGAGTAAGTAATATAGCGATTTCTTCGTCACAGGACATCTTGCAGAATAACAGTGATTTAAATACAGTGCATGATAGAGAACATAAAAAACTAATGGCAACAAAATTAATAAATTCGGAAAATACTTTTAACATACCACCCGAAAAAATATTAGATATATATATAAATCATCCTGTTTCAGCCTAAACATTATAAATGCTTCACAAACTAGAGATACCACATCTGAGAAAGAAATATATGAATTATATGATATTTACAAAAACGAAATAAAAAAAATTACCCAAAACAGCAATTTATCTTTAAAAAATATTTGTTATTTGATGTAAAGTTGTTATGTTTATAGAAAAATTGCATGTCCAATAAATATGGCCCATGCGTCCAATTACTATATAAAATGTCCAATTACTATACTTTTAAGAAAAAAACTAGAATGTTTATAACAACGGCTTATATAAATTTTAAATAAATAATATTCCTTAAGTGTCCAATAACTATGTGGTTTACCCTATCTGTCTTCCTGCTCTTACAGCTAACGTTTTTAGGGAAAAACTGATTGATAACTTGGACACGGACATTCAGAGAATGACGGCGGAATTGACAAAAGTTGTCCATAAAATGGACAGGTTGCAAGGGGAATGGTTGACTCCCCTTAACGTTTTACTCAACGAAATAAATCGAAAATTTTCGCAGGCCTACGAAAATATGGGATGTGCCGGCGAAATTTGTCTACACATAGGTAAAAACAAACATATACCTGACTCAATTCTAAAGATTAAAATGTCATTAAATATTTTACTCAGGTAACCTGAGTAAAAATATTTAATGACAATTTAATCTTTAGAATTAAGTGGGTCGTTATACTATTAAGGCTCTCTGTCTTTTATCAGTTGTCCATAACATTTATATTAGAAAAATAATAAAATGAGATGGCTAATATACAGGGTGTTATATAATTAATGTAATATATTAAAATTTTGAATACCTTTTGACATAAGGAGTAACGAAAAAATATTTAAAAAAATATTTTCCCAAAGATAAAGAATAAATATGCATTAGAATAGTCCTGGCCGTTTTTCGATCAGAAGCACCATTAATTAGTTATTAATAAAATGAAGTAGCCAATCACAGGTGTGATTAGAGGTGGGAGAACTATAATGTGCAATTAGAAATTCCATATAAAATCGTAGTGTAAAATGACCTTAATTATATGGTTGACATTGTCAGTGTTTTAGTTTTTAGGTTAGTTTTAACTTGATACATTCTTTTTTTAGGGAAAATTGGTGGCCCTAATACAGATTAATAATCGTTTTAAACGTTGTGTTTCTACAGAGGCGCTTGTAAGCCTAAAAGTGCTAAGAACAACCGTTTTACTCCTATTGGTAAAAATAAACCTTATTCTATCAGGGCTGTCGTTAAACTGTCAAATTTCAATTTTAAGGTTAATTTACCATAACCCACAAATTTAAATTTGATAGCTTGATGACAGCCCTGATAGAATAAGGTTTAAAATGGTTGTTCTTAGCACTTAAAGGCCTCATTTGAGGCTTACAAGAGCCTCTGTAGGAAACACAACCTTTAAAACGATTTTTAATCTATACAAACATAAAAATGGCCGCCGTTAGATTCTGCGCAGTGTTGCAGTGATTTTTAGAATGCGCGAAACAAGATAAAACAGCGTTTGTTGTGTGGTTGTGATTATTACATTTTCATTTAAATATCTCTAATTAAATAATAATTTTAAAATTAATTATTATTAAATATTAAAAAAATAATTATCAACCTTGTATTAACTTATTTATTAAGTGGCAAATTAAAACAAATAACAAAAAGAAGAGGTAGGTCTATTTGTCCCACACAAAAAAATGAACATTTCTTCTGAACCTAAAAATCCAAAACACTGACAGTAACAATGAAAAATTAAATTAAGGTCATTTCATAATATGATACGTTCATAGCCATGGAATTTCTACAAAAGTTTGTGTTGTCCCACCTTTAATCATTCTGCTAGAGCACGCCTGTGATTGGCTACTTTATTTTATTTATAACTTATTAATGGTGCGTCTGATCCACGGTCTTATATAAGACCGTGGTCTGATCAAAAAACGGCAAAGACTATTCGACTTTAACATAACACCCTGTATATATGGGAAGAACTCTTTAGTCGAAGACAAAACGATAAAAAATCAAAACTTAAGGTGACGATCCACGAGATTACGACAGCTACGGCATCGCGATAAAAGTGACGTACCGAAATGACGTGCCCCTTCAAGAATTGAACACCACTGTCCAAAGTGGGGGCGAGAGGGCCGTGGCCACGGCCACCTTCATGCTCTCCCTGCAAGAATTGACCCCGGTGCCTTTCCGATGCGTCGACGAAATCAACCAGGGAATGGACGCTAACAACGAACGCAGAATTTTCGAGCTATTAGTCGTCACCACCAGCCGTGTAAACACTGCGCAGTACTTTTTAATCACGCCGAAGGTAAAACTACGACAACTGTCAAAATTTGACGTTTCGAAACGTCAAATCTTGACAGCTGTCACTTTGACGTTTTAAATGTCAGTTTTTGACATCTGTCACGTAAACGTCAAACTTTATTTTTAGCTGGTCCCGAATTTGGAATTCCACGAATCCATGATGATCCACATCGTGCACAACGGTCCTTTTGTCGTGCAGGACAGAAAATGGTCGTTTTCCAAGCTATGCAACCCGCTGGGAACGCAAATTCACTAATTTATTCGTTTTTTGTCATAAAATAATATATTCAACACGTTATAAAGTTTGTTAAAGTTTTTTTTAATTTTTTATAATAAAAATATACTACACAACATTTTTTTTCATTTATGTTTGATAAACACGTCTAAAACTTGAATTTCATAGCCAAGAAGACTAAAACGAAGAGGAACAACTTACTAAACACTTTGACATTTGAATAATAATAATTGAGGTTATTTAAATTCCTCTTAAAAAAGCGTCTTAATAATGTCTGAATTAAAATAGGCTACCTTCAACGGTTTTTTAATTAAAAATTAAAATTACGACGTCTCGTTTTTTACGATATCTCGAAAACTATAAATTATTTTTTTTAGATTTTTAAATTTAGGCGTAAAAATACGCAACTTTTCCCTAATTTAACCAACTATGTATCTCAAAGATAAGCATTGGTCCTAATTTAGAACACAAAAAATAAATATAATTTATTATTTTTAGGAAAAAAATGCCAAATTAACGTTAAACTGACAGATAGATACCCTCACATATTTGTTTTAAAATGTCAAGGTTGTGTGGTTGGGAGCAGTAACTCGTCTTTATTTAGTCTTCTTGGTCAAAACATATTTTGAAATGCCAATAACAACAATGTAAAAAACGTAAAACACAATTTAGAATGTCCAAAAAACCAACACATTTTAATGTCAAAATGTTGATAAAAAATAATATATAAAACGCGTTGTAATCAAAATAAACCACAACATTTATTTACTGGTTGAAGTACGTGTTCTGTGACTAGAACTTCTTAGAAATGCACGTGTTGTAATATACAGATTTCTATAGGAGAGTTGAATAATCGCTTGAAAGATGGAGAAACACGTGTCTGTGACGTCACTTCCGCGTCGACCCATCCCAAAAGAGCGAGAGGGCGATACAAACGTTCGCATCCCCACCACTTGAGCGTTTGACAATTTGCCCAGGAAAATTGCGATTTACGAGCATAATATAAATGACGAAGCGTAAATAAAATTATATGAGTTGAAAATAAATACCATGCGTCGATTTGGAGGGTTTTCCGAAAGATTAGGGTGTAAAATAAAGAGTTTTGGCGTTTATTAGCGGAGCACTGGATGTCACAACACTGCACGGCTAGTCAAAAGAACTACTGCATGGTGGCGATAAAATTGTGATTTTTGGTGTTTGGAGTGTTGAATGTGATTGAAATAAATATTAAATGACATTAGTTGAATTGTTCAGTTGATGTGATGTTGAATTTGAGTGTGTTATTGTATATTTGTTGTGTTTGCGGTGTTCGGCATGAATGAAGCATCTTGTGGGCTTATGCGTAGAGGGTTCCCGCGCACTGCGTGCCGTAGTAAATTTGTATGGCTCCATGGCAGAGCCGCCATGATGGCTTTCCGTACAACACGCTCGACATGGAAAGTTTCAACCAAGTTTTCGGGTATTTGTGACTGAGTGCGTGCAAACAAAAACAATGGGAACGTACTAGAGATAAGGAAGAATCGTTCAGTGCCCGTCTCGGACGGTCCGAGTGACGGAAAAAGCGCATCCGAGCGATTTTATGTTGGCCTTGTCGCGAGTTTTGTGCTGTCAACAAAAATGTCGAAGCTTTCGTTCAGGGCGCGGGCCCTCGACGCCAGCAAGCCCATGCCCATTTTCATGGCCGAGGAACTGCCTGACCTGCCCGATTACTCGGCAATCAATCGGGCGGTTCCTCAAATGCCCTCAGGAATGCAAAAAGAGGAAGAATGCGTAAGTAAATCAACCACTCTGCGGTCAGCCATAGCCGTCCTTGTTGTTCGGCGGCCATCTTGATTCGCGTTGGCGCTCCATGCGCGACCGGCAACATTGTAAATAAATAACAATTTCAATACAACCCCCCGAATACAAACAAACCCCATCGACGAAATACACCTTTTACGCCTTAATAAACACAATGCACTAACTGTCACTTGGCCTGGAGCCATGTTTGTTTACATACAATGTTAAAAAATTCACCCCATTAGCAAAACAAATGAACAACTCTTACTATTAATAAACCAATGCAAACAACCCCAAATCACTCACTGGTATAACTTTCGGAACAGGAACATCATCTTCAAAGGGCAATATGTGCCGGCCTCATCATACCTACTCCGGAGGTTTCGGACCTGCCAAACTCGGAATTCTACGACGACGTCTATCCAGCCAGCTACAAGCAGCCCCGACAGCTCATACACATGCAACGTAAGCCACCATTTCGATTTTTAACTCGACCACAGCTATCGAACACCTCTCCAGATCAAGAACCAAACAATTTTCAACACTTGTTGTTTGGTCACTATGGAAACTAATTTAACAAGATAGACTTGAAGATTTGACAGCTACTGGTCGGGTTATGTTTACTTGAGTTGTCAAAGCTGTTATAACCTCACTTTTGATTGTTTTTGTTTTGGTTACTACAGATACATGTTTAATTGACATTGTTTTCTGATAAATGGGGGTTAGGTGTAGCTGTCAAACTCACTGGTGTATAATGGGGGTGTTTTTTAGCTTTTACTATGGAACAAGACATACCGGACTACGATATGGATTCGGATGACGAAAGATGGCTGCAGTCTCAGACGCAGAAGCTTGATTTGTCGCCTGTGAAGTTTGAGGAAATGATGGACAGGCTAGAAAAGAGCAGCGGACAGACTGTGGTCTCCATAAACGAAGCTAAAGCATTGCTCAAGGAGGATGATGATCTCATTATTGCAGTATTTGATTATTGGCTAAACAAACGACTAAAAATGGTGAGTAAAATTAATTTTTACTTTGTAATTTTTTAAATGTTTCGTTTTAGCAACATCCTTTGATATTGACTGTAAAAACGGAGCATAGAGCAGGTACGGCTGCTAATAACCCTTACCTAGCGTTCAGAAGAAGGACGGAAAAAATGCAGACGAGGAAGAACCGCAAAAACGACGAGGCCTCGTACGAGAAAATGCTTAAGCTTCGTAGGGACCTGCACAGAGCTGTGACGTTGCTGGAGCTGGTTAAACGCAGGGAGAAAATAAAGCGGGAACACGTGCATCTGACCATTGAGGTTTTCGAGAAGAGGTATCAGGCCAAAGATTTTAGCGGGGCTATCATGGCTGAAGCCTCGGCTATCAAATCTTCCAGGCCCGCCTTCACCCCCATTTTCCACAACAATTACCCCAATCAGAGCTGGTCCAACAAAGCTGCGCTGAAAGATGAGGTAAGTGGGCTTTTTTTTTTCAGCGTTGTAATTATGAAAAAACCGGAAAAATTGGGAGAAAAACCTGTTTTTTCCCAGGTCTTGGAAAAATGGCTTTTTTTGAAAAAAATAATTTTTTTTGTTGGAAATATACACATTTTAATTTTTAAAAATATTCAAGTTTAATTACAAAATTATAATTTTATAATTCAAAGTGTCAAAGTTATGTTATTACACCGAATATATTTTTTTGCGGCCCGGTAGAATATTCTTACTTGATTAAAATAAAAGGAATAATTATTATAATCATAATATTATGATTATATACAGCGTCAAAAATTCACTTTTTTCTTGATATTAGTGTACGGATAGTATCCGTAAAAATTCGCAAATTTTCAGAAAAAATGACTTGCATTTTTTTCGTATTACCCTTTAATAAAATTTAAAAAGTCAATTTTTCTGAAAATTTCACATTTTTGATGATTTTTTTTTCTGGAAAAAACGTTTTTTTGCCGTCTTAATTTTTCCTGATATTTTAAAATTCTAGTTGTAATGTAAAAACACTTGTTAGAATGTCAAACCACGTCATATGACGTCAATATGATATCAATTTGACGTCAGTGACATCAAAATAGGCTTTTACAGTGTCGAAAAAAAACCGAAAAAATTGTGGAAATAAATGTTTTTCCCAGGCCTTGGAACAATTGTCTTTTTTGGAAAAAAATGTTTTTTTTAAATATACACATTTGAAAAAAGTCGCAAAAACAACTTTATTTTAACATTATTTTAATTTTAAAAAAATATTCTTTATTACAGAAAAAAAACAAAAAACTAAATTAAATTAAATTAAATTGATTTAAGAAAATAAACGTTTTTTTTTAAATATACACATTTGAAAAAATTGAAAAAAACGAAAAAATTGTGGAAAAAGCTGTTTTTCCCAAGCTTAGGAAAAATTGTCTTTTTTGGGAAAATTTGTTTTTTTTAAATATACACATTTGAAAAAAGTCGCAAAAACAACTTTATTTTAACATTATTTTAATTTTTTAAAAATATCCTTTATCGTTTATTTAAGAAAATAAACGTAAACGTTAAATATATTGTCGGTTGGGTCTTTTTTGCAAAAAGGAGTCCATTGAAAATATCCAATTACAAAATAATGAATGATTTATAGAGTTTAATTACAAAATTATAATTTTATAATTCGTGTGTCAAATAAAACGAAAGTACAGTACCGTATGTTTTTTATGTTTTTTTTTGTGAAATGGTAGAATATTCTTACTGAATTAAAATAAAAGGAATAATTATTATAATCATAATACTATTATTATATTTAGCGTCGGAAATTAACTTTTTTCTAGATAATTTTTGGAAATATTTACTTTTGCATTTTTTTAAATTAAATTTTAAAAAATGCAAGTCATTTTTTCTAAAAATTACAAATTTTTCCGTTTCCGAAAAAAAACCGGTTTTGTTTCGGAAATTTTAACACTTTAGTTGTAATGTAAAAACACCTTTGGTATTACAAAAACACTTGTTAGAATGTTAATACACATTTTAGAACGCTACGTGTCCAAAATTTTGACCAACGTCAATATGATATCAATACGACGTTAAAATGACATCAATTTGACGTCTATTTTCCGTAAAAATTGTATCTAAAACTCGTGTTTTGTGCAGGTGATACCGAGGCGCGAAAAGCGTTCGTACAAAAAGCGCAGCAAACACAAAGCGCTGTCGCACGGCCTGAGCGCGGGGGCTCTGGGTCTGGACAGCGTGGGGGCGCTGTCGTCGGACGAGGAGGCCATGCTGCCGCAGATGTCGCCCGAACCGGAAGAGGCCGAAGACGAGGGACACTTCGCCTTCCGGCGGAACAAGCTGTGCTCCTATCATATGGTGAGTCCAGATATTTATTTTGTTGGTTTGGCAACGCCGTAATTTTTGGCGTTCTATGATTTTTTAGATGCAATCAAAGAACATCACTAATTAACATTAAAATCTACATTTTATATAAAAAGGAAATAATAAAATGCTATAAAACCAAAATTGTATGTAAATTAACATTTTTTAAACTAAATCTAATAAATTATTATTATTATTATATATACACTGCCCGTCAAAATTAACGCATAATCAGTAAAAAAAATTTAACTCTAAAACGCCTTTACAAATTTTTATGAAATTCTGTATAAGAATAGTTCAACTTATATCTCAGTTTACGTGTTCCAGGGTTTTTCGAGAAAATATTTTTAAAGCTCTTTTATTTAATAATTAAAAAAACCTTCGAAAAATAACTTTTAGGGAATTTTTATTTAAGTAAATAAAAAATACGCTGCTAAATACCGTTTTTTTATTAGTATAGGTACCCTGAAAATTTTGTAGAAATCAAACGAACAGTAACGAGGATACAATGCTTCAAAATCGGTAAAAATTACCCCTTTTTGATTATTTTGCTGAAGAGTGGTCATTTTTGACGACTTTGAGCGCTGTATTTTTGTTGCTGTTGGTTTAATTTGTACAAAATTTTCAGGGTATACTAACAAAAATACGGTCTTTCACAACATATTTTTTATTTACTTAAAAATAAATTTTCCTATAAAAGTTTTTGATTTTATTATTAAATAAAAGGACTTTAAAGATATTTTCTCGAAAACCCCTTGAACACGTAAACTGAGATATAAGTTGAAAGTATTTTTATACAAAATTTTATAAAGATTGGTAAAGGCGTTTTAGAGTTGGATTATTTCTGAAATTTCGCACTGAAATATCTTTACGGTACCGAAAAAAGACACATGTGAAAAGTTCTTAATTTTAATATTTAGAGGTCGCGGATCGAGAATTTTCTATTTTTCATTTAAATAACATGGGATTTTTTTTTGTTTTTTATAATGTTCTAATTTACAAACTAATTAACAGATTTGTATTCGCGATATATATTGATATATATTCAATTAATTAAAATTACTATCAAATATAAAAAAAAATATTCAAAAAATCAAAATTACTATGTTCAATAAGTCTTTTAAATTAATTTCACTAAAACACCCACTTTTTCTGGGAAGTATTAATTAAAATCTTTTTTAATTGATTAATATCCGTTTTGATTTTCTTTTAAATGATTGCTACAATAGTAAACAATCTAAAGAATGTTTTGCTGTATTTTGCAAACTTTATATTTTTTCTGTTATGAGATTTTTGAGTAACAAGATCCACATTACAATTAATGTTGGTTATTAACTAAACGGTTAAAATTTCTCAAAATATAACGTCATTTGACTTTGGCCTGGTTTTTTAGTCACATTAGAAATTTCTACTTGTGTATATACCTCAGAATACTTGTATACAGTGCTTGCAAATCCAAGTCCGACCGGTTTGGGAAGGACGCATGAAAATAACAAGGATAGAACGCCAAACAGAAGGCAAATACAATACGCACGCCTGACGCTCTGACCAATCAAATTATGTTTGGCATTCTATCCTTATTCTTTTCACGCGGGTATTGAACAACCTGTATACAAAATTAGTAATTTTACCTCACTTTTAATTTTATTAAAAAAAAGTCGTCTAGCGATTTGGCTAAAAAACTAGTCAATGTAACCTATTTGTACAAAAGGTGATGTTTATTTATATATTTTTTAAACAATTATTTATTTTTTAAGTACAGTTGCTTTTATTTAATTACATAAATTCATTTGAATACTTTTTTTCTCCTAAATTCCTAAATAAAATTTGTAATTTAGCCTGTAAATTATAAAATTAGATATAGGATTAAAATTTTTCACAACACTGGATTGTCACAAGACAGTTTAAACCAAATATTAGAACACTTTAGTCACTTTTAAGATGGGTAGTTTTTACGAAATTTCGTACGGTTTTAGACGTTTGTTCTCTATTTTTAGCCTCTGCCGGAAGAGGGCAACTGGTCGTGGTGCTCGCGCGAGGAGAACGGCCTTGCGGACCCGCGCTTCCGCTTCTCGCTCACGTCGGTGCTGCACCCGCGACGCCGGTGCGTCGGTTTCGCGCGCCGGCGCGTCGGTCGCGGCGGCCGCGTCATCCTGGACCGCGCCTCCTCCGACTACGACGACTACTGGCGCCACCTGGACTTTTCGATCGTCGAACCGTCGTCGATCAAGGCCGAGGACGAGGCGGCGGCGGCCGCGACGTTGCCGCCGCTCAAGGCGGAGCCCTCCGCGTCCAGGGTCAAAGTGGAGGTCAAGCGGGAGGTGGAGGAGGAGGGGGTGGAGCCGCTCGAAGCGGCAACGGCGCCCGATCGACTCGACGACAAGGATGTCGACATGGACGACTTTTTGCAATCCGTCAGGAGAAATTTGTAAGTGTTTTTCTATATTTTAATCATTTCAGCTCAAACATACAACAACGTTTTCGCTATTTACTAAATAAGGTACTTTTTCAAGTAACCTAGAATGATTCAATTTAATAACCTAACTTACAACTTGTTGAATTTTCATAATTTTATAGTTTTTATTCCTACCTACTTAAAAGTAACTTAGTTACTTAAAAGTATATTAGATACTTTTTATATTCCACAGAAAGTTCTTTAATTTAGTAACTTGTAACTTGTATCTAAAAAAGTATCTAAGTTACTCAGTAAAGTAACTAAGATACCTTTAAGTAAATTAGATACATGAAATTTACTAAGTTACTTTTTAAAGTAACTAAGATACTTTTTAAAGTAATCAAGATACTTTTCAGTGTAACTTAGATACTTTCTTAGAGAAAATTGGGGGAATTCCAGAATGATTCAAAGTAATTACCTGACCTACAAATTGTTGAATTTTCATAATTTTATAGTTTTTATTCATACTTAAAAGCATATTAAATACTCAAAAGTATCTTAGTTACTTAAAAGTATCCTAGATACTTTTTATATTGGACAGAAAGTATCTTTATTTAGGAACTTTGGAAAAGTATCTTGTAACTTATAACTAAGATACATTCAAGTAACTTGGATACTTTTTAAAGTAACTTGGATACTTTTTAGAGCAACTTAGAGAAAATTGGGGGAATTCCAGAATGATTCAAAGTAATTATCTGACCTACAACTTGTTGAATTTTCATAATTTTATAGTTTTTATTCATACTTAAAAGTAACTTAGTTAGTCAAAAGTATCTTAGTTACTTAAAAGTATCTTAGGTACTTTTTATATTGGACCGAAAGTATCTTTAATTTAGTAACTTTGGAAAAGTATCTTGTAACTTGTATCTAAGTTACTCAGTAAAGTAACTAAGATACATTTAAGTAACTTAGATACATGAAATTAACTAATTTACTTTTTAAAGTATCTAAGATACTTTTTAAAGTAACTTGGATACTTTTCAGTGTAACTTAGATACTTTCTTAGAGAAAATTGGGGGAATTCCAGAACCTTACCTACAACTTGTTGATTTTTCATAATTTTTTAGTTTTTATGCATACTTGAAAGTAACCTGGTTACTTAAAAGTATCTTAGTTACTCAAAAGTATCTTTCATACTTTTGAGTAAGATACTTTCAACTCAAAGTATCTAGTTACCAGAGGTAACTAAGTTATTTTGTTTAAAGTATCTTAGATACTTTCGCAGCTCTGAATCAGTTGTGAAACTTGTGCAACGTTGTGATTTCAGGCTTCACTTCCGGCCGAAAACTCCACCTTGCGAAGCTTCTTCGGCGCCTTCGGGCGGTTCGAGTCCCTCTTTCCCTTGGGACGAGTGCGGCGCCTCGTTCAGCCTCGAGATTCAGCCGCTAGAGGCGCCCAGCGCCCACCTGCTCGACACGTCGCCCTTCCTCACCGACCCGTTCGTCTTCGACCTGGACGTGCCGGTCACGGACACGCGGCAACGCCGCAACAACAACGGCCCGTTCAGTGTAGGCGGTGAAACGATAGACAACTCGAGTGACGCTAGTAATAAAGTGCGCGACGCGAAAACAACGAACGATCACGACTACGTGGAGGAGGAGGAGGAGGAGGAGGGGGAGGAGGAGGTGGGGGGCGACGACGCGGCAACCGCGCACACGATCGGCTGCTCCCGCTTCTCCCTCTCGGATGTGAACCCCTCGAATCGTCGTCTTATAAACTCTTCGCATCGATACCGTTCGACGACGAGGCAGCGGTCGAATCGCGTCGCGGCAACGTCGCACCCTCCCCCCGCCACGCTTTCCTCCTCTTTTTCTTCGAGTACCTTGACTAGTCCTAAGTTATTAATAACGAACACGAACAGTGTTGTAAATACCGGTAGTAATAGTTACGGCGGGGCGTTGGCGGCGACGGCAACGCCGCACGACGGCGGCAACAGCGCCAACGGGCTGCTGGCGACGGCGCCCCCCTACGGATTCGATGGTGAGTTGTTTTACGCTATTTTTTAAAAGGTGCCGCGGCACTATATCTCCCAAACGACCATTCCTATGAAAAAAATCCTCCGAACCTTATTTGTAGAAAATTTGCTTATCTACAATTTATTACCCAACGTTTATTGTGAAAAAGTCTTCCGTTTCCCAGATATTTGCAAAAAACCGATTACAAAACGTACAAATGTTTGTTCAAAGTCAAAGATTGCAAATATCTCCAAAACGGTGGACTTTTCGACAATAAACGTTCAGTATTAAATTGAAGCTGATTTAATTGTCTACAAATCAGGTTCAGAAGTATTTTTTGTAGGAATATCCATTTGTGAGATAAAGAGCTCTGAAGTGTGAGCGAGTATCGCAACACTTGCGAGCGCTATATCTTCCAAATGGCCATTCCTATGAAAAAATTCATATGAACCTTATTTGTAGTAAATTTGTCAAGCTACAATTTATTACACAACGTTTATTGTGAAAAAGTCTTCCGTTTTCTAGATAAATGCAAAAAACCGAGGGAACGATTACAAAATTACAAATGTTTGTTGGAGTCAAAGATTGCAAATATCTCCAAAATGGTGGACTTTTCGACAATAAACGTTCGGTATTAAATTGAAGCTGATTTAATTGTCTACAAATAAGGTTCAGAAGTATTTTTTGTAGCAGCATCCATTTGTGAGATAAAGAGCTCTGAAGTGTGAGCGAGTATCGCAACACTTGCGAGCGCTATATCTTCCAAATGGCCATTCCTATGAAAAAAATCATCTAAACCTTATTTGTAGAAAATTTGTCAAGCTACAATTTATTACATAACGTTTATTGTGAAAAAGTCTTCCGTTTTCCAGATATTTGCAAAAAACCGAGAGAGCGATTACAAAACGTACAAATGTTTGTTCAAAGTCAGAGATTGCAAATATCTCCAAAATGGTGGACTTTTCGACAACAAACGTTCAGTATTAAATTGAAGCTGATTTAATTGTCTACAAATAAGGTTCAGAAGTATTTTTTGTAGCGGTATCCATTTGTGAGATAAAGAGCTCTGAAGTGTGAGCCAGTATCACAACACTTGCGAGCGCTATATCTCCCAAATGGAAAAATTCATCTGAACCTTATTTGTAGAAAATTTGCCGAGGTACAATTTATTACCTAAAGTTTATTGTGAAAAAGTCTTCCGTTTTCGAGATATTTGCAAAAAACCGAGGGAAACGATTACAAAACATGTACAAATATTTGTTGAGAGTCGAAGATTGCAAATATCTCCAAAATGGTGGACTTTTCGACAATAAACGTTCAGTATTAAATTGAAGCTGATTTAATTGACTACAAATAAGGTTCAGAAGTATTTTTTGTAGCAGCACCCATTTGTGAGATAAAGAGCTCTGAAGTATGAGCGAGTATCGCAACACTTGCGAGCGCTATATCTCCCAAATGACCATTCCTATGAAAAAATACCTCCGAACATTATTTGTAGAAAATTTGTTTATCTACAATTTATTACCCAACATTTATTGTGAAAAAGTCTTCCGTTTTCCAGATATTTGCAAAAAACCGAGGGAATGATTACAAAACATACAAATGTTTGTTCAAAGTCAAAGATTGCAAATATCTTCAAAATGGTGGACTTTTCGACAATAAACGTTCAGTATTAAATTGAAGCTGATTTAATTGTCTACAAATAAGGTTCAGAAGTATTTTTTGAAGCAGCATCCATTTGTGAGAGCTCTGAAGTGTGAGCGGGTATCACAACACTTGCGAGCGCTATATCTCCCAAATGGCCATTCCTATGAAAAAATTCAATTGAACCTTATTTGTAGTAAATTTGTCGAGCTACAATTTATTACTTAACGTTTATTGTGAAAAGTCTTCCGTTTCCCAGATATTTACAAAAAACCGAGGGAATGATTAAAACATACAAATGTTTGTTCAAAGTCAAAGATTGCAAATATCTCCAAAATGGTGGACTTTTCGAAAATAAACGTTCAGTATTAAATTAAAGCTGATTTAATTATCTACAAATAAGGTTCAGAAGTATTTTTTGTAGCAGCATCCATTTGTGAGATAAAGAGCTCTGAAGTATGAACGAGTATCACAACACTTGCGAACGCTATATCTCTCAAATAGCCATTCCTATGAAAAAATTCATCTGAACCTTATTTGTAGAAAATTTGTCAAGCTACAATTTTTTACCCAACGTTTATAGTGAAAAAGTCCTCCGTTTTCCAAATATTTGCAAAAAACCGAGGGAACGATTACAAAACATGTACAAATGTTTGTTGGAGTCGAAGATTGCAAATATCTCCAAAATGGTGGACTTTTCGACAATAAACGTTCAGTATTAATTTGAAGCTGATTTCTCTACATTTTTTCGTATAACCTAAAATGTCGCCCGATTGCTAGATAACGAGATATTCGTTAAAAACAACATGGCGCGGCACCAAAAAAAACTTTTTTTAGAAGTAAAATTCTAAATTTACCAGACTATTCATTTATTAATTATTATTCTAAATAATTTAACGACTTTTAGCCAAAAATACATTTTTTAATTTGACCGTTTTCTATTGTTTAAAATTAAGTTTTGGATGGAACTTAAATAAGGAAACTGTTAATTCAGAAAAATATCGTGCCGCGGCACTTTGTTTTTTGTAAATATCTTAATTTCTACTGTACATACGACGTTAATAACACAATTCTCCACAAAAAAAGTCATATACATTTTTCACCTAGGACAAACCGTTTGTGAGATATCGCACTAAAAGGCTTTTTTTTTCGAGGCAACACTTTTGCGATATTTCTTAAACGGTTCGCCGTACGTCAAAAGTGTATGGGGCCTTTTTTGTTCGAAATTGCCTTATCTACATTATTTCTAATAACCCTAAATATCGCCCGATCACTAGTTACCGAGATATTCACAAAAAACGAAATGGCGCGGCACTAAACGTCAAATTTTTTTAGAAGTGTAAAATTTCGTCGTTTTTTTCAGTGTCCAGTAATAGAACAAGAAATAATAAATTATACGCTTATTCTGGCGGCGTGGGGTACCCCAATGCTACTCCTACGAGCACGTTGAGTCTTCACACTGCCTCACATACTCTTACGCTTAATAGTCATAGGTAAGTTGATAATTAATTTGCCTGCTCTCCATTTTCTACCCCCATCCTCCCAACATTATTATTAATATTATTATTTAGAGTTAACTATTTAATTATTAAACAAGTAAATATTTTTGTACATAGAACCACCTATAGTAAATAATATTGTCTGTGATAATTAAAACAATTCTAGTTAGTAAGTTTGTAAAAATAAATTCAATTTTTTGTACATTTAGGCGTTTTTATTTTGTTTTCGATCCTCTTCTCGAGGCTATTCTAGTCCCTAATCACATTTACCTCATTTTTACACCATATCATCAAAGAGTAAGATTTAACCCATCATTGGTCCAGGAAAATTAGTGTTAAACATGTTTTTTGGATTGTGCATATCTTAAGAGGACTTCCATTTGTGAGATATAGGGCTATATCTCCCAAATGGCCATTCGTATGAAAAAATACCTCCGAACCTTATTTGTAGGAAATTTGCTAATATACAATTTATTACCTAACGTTTATTGTAAAAAAAGTCTTCCGTTTTCCAGATATTTGCAAAAAACCGAGTGAACGATTACAAAACATGTACAAAGTCTAAAATTGCAAATATCTCTAAAATGGTGGACTTTTCGACAATAAACGTTCAGTATTAAATTGAAGCTGCTTTAATTTTCTACAAATAAGGTTCAGAAGTATTTTTTGTTGGAGTATCCATTTGTGAGATAAAGAGCTCTGAAGTGTGAGCGAGTATCACAACACTTGCGAGCGCTATATCTCCCAAATGGCCATTCCTATGAAAAAATTCATTTGAACCTTATTTGTAGTAAAATTGTCGAGCTACAATTTATTACATAACGTTTATTGTGAAAAAGTCTTCCGTTTTCCAGATATTTTCAAAAAACCGAGGGAACGATTACAAAACATGTACAAACGTTTGTTGGAGTCGAAGATTGCAAATATCTCCAAAATGGTGGACTTTTCGACAATAAACGTTCAGTATTAAATTGAAGCTGATTTAATTGTCTACAAATTGGGTTCAGAAGTATTTTTTGTAGGAGTATCCATTTGTGAGATAAAGAGCTCTGCAGTGTGAGCGAGTATCACAACACTTGCGAGCTCTATATCTCCCAAATGGCAATTCCTATAAAAAATTCATTTGAACCTTATTTGTAGTAAATTTGTCGAGCTACAATTTATTACATAACGTTTATTGTGAAAAAGTCTTCCGTTTTCCAGATATTTGCAAAAAACCGAGGGAACGATTACAAAATGTGTACAAATGTTTGTTAGAGTCGAAGATTGCAAATATCTCCAAAATGGTGGACTTTTCGACAATAAACGTTCAGTATTAAATTGAAGCTGATTTAATTGTCTACAAATAAGGTTCAGAAGTATTTTTTGTAGCAGCATCCATTTGTGAGATAAAGAGCTCTGAAGTGTGAGCGGGTATCACAACACTTGCGAGCGCTATATCTCCCAAATGACAATTCCTATGAAAAAATTCATTTGAACCTTATTTGTAGTAAATTTGTCGAGCTACAATTTATTACCCACCATTTATTGTGAAAAGGTCTTCCGTTTTCGAGATATTTTCAAAAAACCGAGGGAACGATTACAAAATGTGTACAAATGTTTGTTGAAGTCGAAGATTGCAAATATCTCCAAAATGTTGGACTTTTCGACAATAAACGTTTAGTATTAAATTAAGGCTGATTTAATTGTCTACATATAAGGTTCAGAAGTATTTTTTGTAGGAGTATCCATTTGCGAGATAAAGAGCTCTGAAGTGTGAGCGAGTATCACAACACTTGCGAGCGCTTACAAAACGGTTACAAAACATTTTTAACACTAATGGGCGGCTGTATTCCTGGACAACGTACCGTATCGTTAGTAGCGTGTAGATAGAGCTAAACAAAACTTAGATAGTTGGTTGTATTACGTAAAAGAACGGCTGTATGAATGTATCTCTTCGCAGTGCCAACATCTTGGAGATACCGTTGGCGGCGGACGCCGACTCTGTGGGCGGCAACTCGGTGCAGTGCACGGAGGCGGGCGGCGGCGCCGCGGTCGCCACCCCCAACAGCAAGCAGAAGATCCAGGGCCGCAAGAACAACCTAATCATGGAGGTAACTTGATGACTACTCTGCCGCCGGTTATTCATTGAACAAACATCTTTTTTTGACGTCCATCTTCGAGCTTTTTTTCGAAGATGCGTTATTGTTGCGAAAAATGCGGCGCGCCCCGATAAGATTCTTTTTTTCGGTTCTGTGATTGTTTACTAGCGGCCAGTGAACGAAACAGCGGTTTTGGTTCAGTCCAACGACGTGCCGCGGCACTTTGTTTTTCGCAAATATCTCGCTTTCCACCTGACCTACGACATTTTTTGCTGATATCAAAATTGTTCATCGGGCAATTCTCCACAAAAAAAGTCGTATACATTTTTCACCTAGGACAAACCGTTCGTGAGATATCGCCCTATAAAGCTTTTCTCTCATAGGTAACACTTTTTGGGATATTTCTCAAACGGTTCGACGTACGTCAAAAGTGTATAAAACCTTTTTTGTTCAAAATTCCATTATCTACGTTTTTTCTAATAACCTAAAATATCGTCCGACCACTGGATAACGAGATACTTTCAAAAAACAACGTGACGCGGCACCAAAAAAACATTTTTTAGAAGTGAAATTCTAACTTTACTGGACTATTTATTTATTAATTATTATTATTTTTACTAATTTACCAACTTTTTTGGTATCAAAAATCGCATTGTTTTGACAGTTGTCGCTGGCCAAAAATTAGTTTAAAATGCCTGATGCTATTTTTACACGTTTTTTGGGTTTTAAGTTCTAGTTTATTATGTTTAAATTTTTGATTATGCCATTATACATAGTGGTTCAAAATACAAAATAACCTTTACAAAATTGAAAAGTGACATTTTCTTAAATTTTTTATTGATTTTTTTGTAATTGGCAATGTAGATAATAATAATAATAATAATAATAATAATAATGTGTTAATTTAACATACAATGTAAAAATCGCAGGCATTCTTGACGACAAAAAAATAAAATAAAAGCGCTATTGTAAAAAGATTTAAAAAAATTATGTTAGGCACTTAATAATTTATTTTCATCATTTTGTAATTATAATTGTAATTAAAAAAAAACTAGCTATACATACCCCCTGTAATATTTAAGATTTCAAAAAAGGCTGTTGAAGTATAATTAGTAACTTATTGTTTGTAAAAAATGGAACCTTGTTATTTGTAAAATTGTACTTACAGAAACATTTGTATTTTTTAATCGACGATTAAATTTATTTTTTTTAACCAAGTTTGTTTTCTGCGCTTTTCGGTTTCATACGGCAAATGTTCGGGAAACGTTACGTGACAAGACGAAAAAGGCTTTAAAATGGCCACCTAACATACTTTATACTTTTTAATGTGTGTATTTTGCTTTTGGAGGTGCCGCGGCAAATCGTTTTTTTGCAAATATCTCGCTTACCACTGGACATGCAACATTTTCGTCAAAATGAAAATTGTCAATCAGACCATTCTTCAGAAAATAGTTTTATAAATTTTTCATCTAGGACTAACCGTTTGTGAGATATTGTACTTAAACAGCGGTTTGAATTAAAAATCGTGCCGCGGCACTTTGTTTTTTGCAAATATCTCGATTTCTACTGGACATACAACATTTTTGTTGAAATAAAAATTGTTACTCAAACAATTCTCCACAAAAAAGTCATATACATTTTTCACCTACCACTAGCCGTTCGTGAGATATCGCACTAAATAGCTTTTCCTTTCGAGTCTACAGGACCTTTTTTGTTAAAAATTGCCTTATAAATATTTTTACTCAAAACAATCTGCAAAGAAAATAAATTCAAAATAAATACATTAAAACAAGAAGTATGCAAATTAGGTTAATAATAATAATTAAAATAATAATAATAGACAAAAAATGTGTTAAATTTCAGCTTCTCAATGTCTACAGTAGGAATGTACCTGTTTTAAGGTTAATTCTAATTATAGTTTCAATATTTGAACGTATATACTGCACAGAAAAACAAATGAATGTGTAGTAAGTACTTGTGTATGTTTTATAAACAAAAAAGTACTAAATACAAGGCTGTTTAAAAAAACTACAAAAAAATAACGTTGGTCGAATACATGTGCTCTCTATTGTTTTACTAGGTTTAACTTTTTTGTGTTATTTTAATACAGGGTGGCAATATAATATTTTTAATTGCTATAACATGAAATAGACTAAAATGTAAAATGTAAAAAATATTATTTTATATTTGCCAGTAAAAAATATTATTTTCTATCGGCCAGTAAAATAGTGCCGCGGCACTTTGTCTTTCGCAAATATCTCGCTTTCTACTGAACTTAAAAAAAATTTGTCGTTATAAAAATTGTTAATTGCTCAATTCTCCACAAAAAAGTCTTATACATTTTTCACCTACGACCAGACGTTCGTGAGATATCGTACTAAATAGCTTTTCTTTCCGAGGTAACACTTTTTGCGATATTTCTTAAACGGTTCACCATACGTCAAAAGTGTATAAAACCTTTTTTGTTCAAAATTGCCTTATCTGCATTTTTTCTAATAACATAAAATATTGTCAGGCTACTAGATAACGAGATATTTTCAAAAAACAACTTGGCGCGGCACCAAAAAAAAATTTAGAAGTGAAATTCAAACTTAACTGAATTATTTATTAATTATTATTATTTTTACTAATTTATCAACTTTTTTGCTATTAAAAATCGCGTTTTTTTACATATAATTTAGATTTTGTATTTGGCAGTAAAAGATCTTATTTTGGCAACCCTGTATATTTAAGTGTGGAATTAAGCAAAAGCTTACTTCAAGTACTAAAAAGAGTCAAATGTAATTTTTCAACATCAATCTTGAACGATACTTTTTCCACACTCAAAGTTAAATTGTAAATAAATTATCTCTATTGTTTGTAAATATAAAAAAACAGTATTTTTTGTACAATTTTTTTCGCTATTAAGTATAAGTGGCGATTAATGTTTAGGTATTAGTTTTCGGGAAAAAGTATGGTTTAAGTTATACTTATCAGCAAAAAAGTCAGAAATATAGTTGAATCATCTGATTTTGTTGTCTGTTAAAATTTGAATCAATGGTGCAAGCAAATAGTTATAAGCTCACATTCCCCATTATTCGTCGTGGTATGAAAAAAAAAACAAAAAATAACCTCACCAGTTCACTAATGTTTAATCCACAACATAAAATAAGGCGAAAAAGTCTCTGGTTTAAAAGTAAAAGTATTTTGACAGGTTTGACAGTCAAAGGTATCTAGATTAATAAACAACCAATGAAATTTATCGACATAAACTTTCCAAAATATTATTGGTTGCTTACAAGTATAGCTTGCCTTGACTACCATGTTGCCAGATGTCTTAGTTTATGATTTGGATTCTACTTGTGACTGGAGGAGTTCCTGTACATTATTAAAGGGTGACGTTCATAATATCGAAATTCACTTTATCGAATTCAAAATATCGAACACTTTTTATCGAAAATCAAAATATCGAAAATACAAAATGTCGAAAATCAAAATATCGAAAATTAAAATGTCGAAAATGATAATATCGAAATTTTATTTAATCGAATTTTCAATTTATCGAAAATAAAATATCGACGTTCATAATATCGAAATTCACTTTATCGAATTCAAAATATCGAACACTTTTTATCGAAAATCAAAATATCGAAAATACAAAATGTAAGCAACTTTCAAGACAATTATCAAAATGAACCACATATTCTATTAAATTATTTAAAATCCATAGCTTTTATTCTATAAGTATTTATTTTTTGTTTAAATTTTTAATAAAGTTAATTTTTTATTTAGTACCTGGGGTTATTATTCTTACTTTTATTTTTACAATTAATGTGAAACTAAACCATATTTTCTTATTTTGAATTTGATATTTTGTTTAAATATTTCAATTAATCGACATATTATTTTAATCCGAAGTGTATATGTACAGAGGCGCCTCTGATATAGAAATGTACTCAAACTCAACAACACAACCCAACCGACCCCGCCCCATTGGCCCCCCCCCCCGCCCCATTGAGCAAAAAACCCAACTAAAATGGGCTAATTTATGTAATTAAAAAGTGTTTTATTTTTATCGTAACATGAATTTGGCCATTTTAGTTGGGTTTTTTGCTCAATGGGGCGGGGGGGGGGCCAATGGGGCGGGGTCGGTTGGGTTGTGTTGTTGAGTTTGAGTACATTTCTATAAAACGCGCATCTCTAGGAGCCAGGGAGCCAAGATAATTCGGTGCATAACCGTAACTTTATCTACAGAGGCGCCTCTGTACATATACACTTCGATTTTAATCATACATTTTAATTTTCGATATTTTTAAATCGATATTTTAATTTTCGAAATTTTAATTATTCGACATTTTCAAATCGACATTTTAATTTTCGATATTATCATTTTCGACATTTTAATTTTCGAAATTTTAATTATTCGACATTTTCAAATCGACATTTTAATTTTCGATATTATCATTTTCGACATTTTAATTTTCGATATTTTGATTTTCGACATTTTGTTTTTTCGATATTTTGATTTTCGATAAAAAGTGTTCGATATTTTGAATTCGATATAATGAATTTCGATATTGTGAACGTCACCCATTATTAAAGTATGAATTAACAGTCCAAACAAAAAATCTTGTGATCATTTTAACTAATATTAGAAAGTTGAAAATTAGTGTATTGTTTTTACTGTTGATTCTGTTTTTTCGATCGAAAAAATGCGAAAAAGCTTCAACATTGATTGTCCTGAATTGTCTGTGTAAAGTATTTTCAAGGTATAAAATTGCACTTTTGTAAAGAATTTTTTATCGAGGTGTTTTTTTTTAATTTGGCGCCATTTTTATCTCTATTTTAAGCGATAAACCAATCAAAGAACGGCATTCTCCACAGCACACTATTGCCATTATTTATAACTGTCTCACAAATAATGACAGTTCTATAATTGACCGAAAAAATGGCGCCAAAATTAAAAATTGCCTATTTTCTTGTGCCAAAATCGTTTCTTACTTTACTGGGCAATTTAATTTGTAGAAGGTGGTATTAATTTA